TAAGGTTACTTTGATATATGAACCATGGGCGACTTCGGCTCCCCTAAGAAGCTACACCCCTTCAAAAATGTTGGAAAATTTTGGTTTAATTTTTTTTTCTCAAAAACCATAAACGCTAGGAAAATGAAATTTGGGGAATATGTTTAACGCATAATAGGGCACGTTTTGACCCTATTTGTACTTTCAACCTACCCTTCTAAACTACTAAACGTAACCACACCCGTTCAATTTATGCCTAAATTTTTTTATGAAGATGATAAATACATTGGAAAAATTTCAGTTAGATAGATAAAACTATTCTAAAACTTTTTTGTCTCTCTGATGTTCTTCGAAAATTTAATAATTTCTGAGAAAAAAAATAATTAAGCAAACACTAACTGTTAAGTTGTAGGGTTATTAATCGAAAGTTGGAATGAATTTTTAATGAAAAAATCTTAGTAGGCTTTGCAATCTTTGTCAGAAATATTTTTGACGATTAAATGACAGTTTTCTTACTATTATTATTGTTTTATTTAAAATTTTGAAACGTAGAGTGAACGAGCGTAAATGCGATAGAACTTTGTTTAAAAATTAATTTGAAAAACAATAATAATAATAAGAAAAACACTGACATTTAAACGTCAAAAATATTTCTGACAAATATTGCAAAGCCTACTAAGATTTTTTCATTAAAATTCATTCCAACTTTTGATCGACAACCCCGTTGTCTAACGGGCAGTGTTTGCTTTATTATTTTTTTTCTCAAAAATTAGTCGTTTTTGGAAAAATTTTAGAGAGACAAAAAAGTTTTAGGATACTTTCATCTACCTATGTAAAATTTTTGTAATGTATTTATCATCTGCGTAAAAATAATTTTAGCAAAAATGTAAAGGGGGTGGTTACGTTTAGTAGTTTAGAAGGGTAGGTTGAAAGTACAAATAGGGTCAAAACGTGCCTTATTATGAGTTAAACATATTCCCCAAATTTCATTTTCCTAGCGTTTATGGTTTTTGAGAAAAAAAAATTAAACCAAAATTTTTCGCCATTTTTGGAGGGGTGTAGCTCCTTAGGGGAGCCGAAGTCGCCCATGATTCATATGCCAAAGTACCCTTAAAATTCACTAAAGAATTACCCCTTGAAGTTTGTTGCAGTCATTCAGATACACCCTGTATACAGAGTGCCCATTATGTATGGAATATAGTATATATCTTGGTAGGTATCAACTTTATAAAAAAACATTTTATACAAAAGTTGTTTAATATTTTATTTGCCATAATAAAACTGCATTCGATTGTTTTTAATTCAGAAAACAAATGAGTAACAAATAACACTTGAATTTTTTTAAATGGCAATGTACCCTTTCGTTACGCCCATTTGATAGAGATTACTGTTCTCTTTACGATGACGTAAAATTTTTACCCTTACATCAGAAAATTTTTGAAAAAAATGTAAAAATTATTTATTAATAAAAATTAATCAATAACATAAATCTAGATATCCGAGATCGTCAAGTATTTCTCGAATTATTACCGTAAACTAAATTTACATACAAAATAAAACAAATAAACGAATAATTAGTGTACATCACCAATAATTCGAGGTACTTCTAGGTACTTGACGATCTCGTATATCTAGATTAATATTATTAGATTAATTTTCTTAATAAACAATTTTTACATTTTTTTCAAAAATTTTCTTCTATAAGGGTATTAAAATTTAACATTAAAAATTAAGTTATGGTACTTCCAAATTTTGAAAAGTTAACGTGACCAAACGTTCTAGACAGCCGTTCTCTTCACCGAAACATACTCCATCATGTTGCTTAAGCATGTTCTGACTCCTAAATTGATATCCCAAAAATCGAGTGTTCTCTGGTTTTTTGAACAAATGTCTGCTGGAGCAGATTTTTCTAGAAAAATTTAAATATTTCACTGCTCTTCTGCCCGCCTCCACTCTGACCTTATCCACCTTTACCTCTTCCCTCACTATATACCCCGGTGTTTCCCTCGCCACCCCAAGCACCCATCTCCAGTATCTAGCTTGCACGTCCTCCAGCATTGCCTGCTCTCTCCATCCCCATACCTCTGCCCCATACATCATCACACTACTAACCAGACCTTCAAACATAATCTTCCTCGCTGCCACATTCCTTCCAAAGACTCTCTTCCCCCAACCCTATACTTGTCCCATCACTTTATTCGCCTTTTTTGCCATAGCTATCACATGCGACCCCTTCCTGTTGTCCTCCCTGAACACATACCCCAAGTAAGTATACTCCCTAACCTCCTCGATCTCTTTTCCCTCCCATCTCCAGTTATCTGTTCCTTTTCTCCCACCCTTACAAAACTTCATCATCCTTGTCTTCCCCACATTTACTTCCAGCCCCTTCCCCCTAAAATATCTTTCCAATGTCTTTATCATATCATCTTCGCCGATTCTCTCGCCATGACCACGATGTCATCCGCGTATGCTAACATATGCACCTTTCTACCTCCCACCACCAACCCTCCCATTTGCCCTTCCCCAATCTATCCTCCAGGTCCGCCGTATACAGTGCAAACAGACTTGGGCTTAGCGGACATCCCTGCCTCAGTCCCTTCGTCGTCCAGAACACGTCGCTCAGCTTATCTCCCACTTTTATCCTAACCATAGTCTCCATGTATATTTCCTTCACTCTCGCAGTTAGGTGTTCCGTGATCCCCCTCCTCCCGTAACTTTCCCCTATCCACCTTATTAAAAGCCGCCTTCAAATCTATAAACAGGGCGTACAATTTTCCTCCCTTCTTATCCAGCTCTCTATCTGCCAGATGCTTCAGCACGTACACGTTATCGATTGCTCCCATTCCCTTCCGAAAGCCTGCCTGCCCATCCGGCAAAATTCCTCCCAACTCCATCTCCTCCTCCAGTCTTCCCAGTAGTATCTTCGTGTAAGGTATACACGAAGATACTACTGGGAATCCCACCCCCTCTCCAACGCTATTCATCCCCTCCAACAACTTCACTCTCACCACCCTTGATGCTTCCAAACATGCCTCGTTCTGGATCCCATCTTCCCCTGGCGCCTTTCCATTCTTCAATCCCCTAAGCACTGCTTCCATCTCCTCTTCTGCTATCTCCTCTCCCCCATCTCCCTCATAGCCTCCCAAACCCGTTAGCCTCGTTTCTACCCCTCCCAATAATCCTATAAAGTAACTGTTCCATTCTGTCATGTGTATTTCGCTGGTTATCCTCTCCCTACCCATCTTTCTCTTTTTCAGATACCTCCAGACCTCCCCTTCCCTTGTTATCCCTCTAATCTCTGCCGCCTCCTTCTCCCTCAGTTCTGTTTTCTTTCTACTGCATAACTCTCTGTATCCTCTCCTGGCCTCCCTATATCTATCCACCCCTATCTTCCCCCGTCTCCACTGCCTCAACCTCCTTCTCGCCTCCCTCTTCGCCTTCTTGCACTCGCCATCATACCAGTCGTTCCTCCCTACTCTGCCCCCCTACGTACACACTCCCGTTTCAGTGTTGCCTCCCGCACTACCTGGATAAGTTCTTCCAAACCATTGATCTCTTGTATCTTCTGTTGCCAAGTGTCGAGGTTTCCCCTGTAGAATGCTACCCCTTCTTCCGACCAGTCTGTCCTGATGAACTTGCTTCCCAGTTCCGCTCGCCTTCTGCCGTCCTCCCCCTTTACCTCCACCTCCAACGGTTGATGATCCGACTCTACCGCTTCTCCCACTTTAAACCTTTCTTTTTAAAAAAATATACGGGTGTTCCATTAAAAAAAATAAAGTAGGTGGCGACTTCCGGTATAACCGGAAGTGCAAGAAATCTGAAAATATTTTAGTCGAAGAGATCGTAATTGATAATACCGTTGAATTTCTCAGTCAACGATAATACTTAAGTCTGAATTCTCAAATTTTTATTTTCGCCAGAACCCCAGAATCGTCTAATGACCGGTCTCGCTGAGACACCTGTATATCTCGGTAAATGTTGACTTTATAAAAAAACATTTTATACAAAAGTTGTTTAATATTTTATTTGCCATAATAAAACTGCATTTGATTGTTTTTAATTTCGTTACGCTCATTTGATAGAGATTACTTTTCTCTTTACGATGACGTAAAATTTTTGCCCTTACATCAGAAAACTGGTTTTAGACTCACAAGCATCAAACAACGTAAATCAGACTTTGACGTTTTTCAATAAGTCATTAAACATTTGTTTTCCATGGCACACTAGATTAATATCGATATATGTGTGCACTTTTCAAAAAAACCCTAATTATTTGCCAAACTATTAATATTAGTTATAAGACATATGGAGTATAAAAGATGTAAAATGAGACGCCGAAGACGACTAATTGTAAGTAATAAAATATGGGAGATGCCGTTTAAGAAAATAAAGTTATGGTACTTCAAAATTTCAAAAAATTAACGTGAAATAGTAAAGTGACCAAACGATCTACACAGCCACTCCATCATGTTGCTTAAGTATGATCTGAATACTAAAATGATATCTCAAAAATCGAGTGTTCTCTGATTTTTTGAACAAATGTCTGCTGGAGTAGATTTTTCTAGCAAAATTCGAATAATTCGAGAACAACCGAATCAAATTGCAAAAAGTAAAGTTATTTATAAACCTTGAAAACAGACAGATTCAAAGTTGTAAAACTATACAGGATGTTCCATTTAAATAAATAAAGTAGGCGACTTCCGGTATAACCGGAAGAGTTAGAAATCTGAAAATATTTTAGTCGAAGAGAACGCAATTGATAATACTTAAATCTGAATTCTCACATTTTTATTTTGGCCAGAACCCCAGAGATGTTAATGACCGGTCTCGCTGAGACACCTGTATATAATTGTCATAAAAACACACTTCAACCAATATAAGATAATTATGTATAGGTTATAAAATTATATTTATATTGCAGGACTTTAAATTCTGGCCCGGTTAAAACTATTATTATACAATTTAATACACGAGTTACTGCAAGGAAAGTTATATTTGATTAACAAATTGAAATAAGATCATCTATATAATATACATTTTTATTTAACAGAAAGAAAATTATAAACAAAATTGTCGCAATAATGTGTAACAAATGACTTGAAACCCGTCGACGTAGACAAATTAGACAAAAGTACCTTAAACCATAACATATAATTCTCTTCGAGATTTAAAGCTTTTATTCATCATAATTCAATTAATAAAAAAATAGATCGATAACAATAAAATAAGAAGTAACTTGTTGAATGAAATTCGATCAAGGATATGTCAAATTTTGGTTCAGTAGTACCGTATTCGTTCGAATCTAAGACGCACTATTTTTGCTATATAATCGTTTATGGAAATGGGGTGCGTCTTACAATTGGGCGCGTCTTAGATTCGAACGAATTTTGAATATACAAAATGTTTGTATCATTATTATGTAATAAAGTAATTTATTTGCCATCTTTATTTTAATACGAATTTTTTTTCTTCGATATAATCATTCAAAAAAATGGAGTGCGTCTTAGATTCGAACGAATACGATATATCAGGTGAGTAAATTTGTTGTTTCCTTTGTTTTTTGTATAAACGACCTTCACTAAGGTCGTTAATGCGATGAGTAATATTTTTGTGTTTTTTTTTTTTGTGTATTCATAAAAATCATGACATTAATTTGGAAATTGGACACCGATTTAATCAGGTTGTTAGAGGGCAAATTCAAAATTCTTTTGGTAAAAGAATTGTCCAACCATCACAGTAGCAAAACCCTATGGAAATAAATATTTCAGCTGTAAAAAGTCCAGCAGCATCCATGGAAGTACATAAAAGACTAGGTGATGAGGTAGTGCAACTAATATGAAAAGTTTGCTTTCAAATTGTATAGGATATTGTTAATTTATGGGAAAATGTAATACTATTACTATTTAATAACATTTTGAAAATTTTACAACAAAATAACATTAGTGATAAATAATAAAACATATGAATGTAAAATTATGTATTGAAGAGAAAATGTGGGTGCAAATTAACCAAAGTAAACTATCTCTTTAATGAATCAATTGTAATTAAAACCTATTGTTTACACCGAACATTCGCATTATAAAATGTATTTAAGGCGTCCCACTGAGCTGTGTGTAGCAAAATATGAGGTCGTTTGTGTTTCATATAATCTACAGCTTCACATGGAGACAGTCCATTTTTCTGAAACATTAAATTCAATAACATAAATTTTATCTAAGTGGAACTGTTAGCAATATATGCAATCTTTGCTTACCAACATTAAGTAGCATCCGACAAGTGTGGCACTCCTGGTTCTCCCAGCTTTACAATGAACATACACAGTAAATGGTTTTTCTTGATTTAAATTTCCAACGTTATCAAGAGTTGTGCTTGCTTTTGATATTCTATTTATGAAATTAACTCCTTCTAACAATTTACTTTGGCACGGAACTTCAAACATGTCAACTGTAGCTAACTGAAGAAATTCTACACCAGCTGCTTTCCATTTCTAAAAACAACAAAACATTAGTCAATAATGTATTATTAAGAACAGTAAATAAAGATAGAGGATATAAACTAATTTTATAATGATAAACTAATCACTAATTTTCGAAGTAATTTCTACTTTGCTAAATATTGGCTTTGCCGCAATTTTAGAGGTAACGCTCGATTATGGCATCAACAATATACTTCAGCAATTGCAAAACTAGCCAGGTAAGACCTTGCATGATTTATAATGGAGTCTAATCAAAAAAGCTCTATCAAAAGCCTGATCTACATCTAGAAACTTTCTTTCTTCCAGCGATTTTTCACATATATCTGTGATTCTGATCAATAGTTGAGTTAAACTGGAACTAAATTTTTTTCGCCAATAACAGAGAAGCAGCGAGATTGTCCTAAAAGATAAAACTTCATTTGGTAGTTTCCCTGGCTCAATTTAATAGTCAACATATTTTTTTATGCACAATTAAAAAGTGTAATAAAAACTGTAGCTTTCCATTTAAAATAACGAAGTTATGGTCTACTTTCGGTAGAGCGGAAGTGGCGGCCACCTTGAAAATATTTTAGATCAAAATGTAAATGACATCAGTTCTTAAATATTGTTATTTTTTATTGTACAAAAATAAAGATGGCGCTGCGTCAAAAGAAACTTTCCCTTCAACATAAAGTTCCTATTAGGTGTAAATGATAAAACATCGAAAACTGTGCACTTTCGTTATTAACGTTGATTTGAAAAAGTTAGTAGTTTCGAAGATATTTAGTATTAACACTGAGACTATTCAGAAGATAAGTTAAATATGATTTTAATTTATGGTGAATGTCGCTGAAATTCTTCGGAAGCAGTACGATTACACAGACTGCGATATCCCAGTAGACTAATTTCAGACCGAAAACGTTCATAAATTTATCCACAAACCTTACCAATTTTAAAACATTTAAGAAACAGAAACGACAGAGAGATATACGAGTTCGAGATGATGAAAACTGCAATGGTCTTGCAAATAATAAATGACAACTCGCATAAATCATTGCATCTCAATACCGGTATTCGGTATTCAAAATTATTAAAACCGGGATACCGGTATTAATACCGGTATTACTATAAAAACGTTTACTCACTAAACTACTAGATAATACAATCACTAGATATATCTAATTGTGAGATTTTTTTCCCTTAATTCCTACTATATTTTTAGATTGACGACAAAGCATAAGATACAGAATCTGAGAAGATAATCAAAAAATGGAAAGATATTAGGAATCTGTACAAAGTACCAATAAACTTAAAGGTCTGGATACCATTATTGCTTTGTTGTCTTTCACTTGGCCCAAAGGTTCCAACTTCACTGCCGCGTCAAAAAATGAAATTACACTACATCATCTGAAGCTCTGTGGAATTCTTTCGAATTCCTGCTTTGGAATTTTCTGGAAAGATGCAAATTCAAGAAAGAAACTTTAACATAATGGCTCTTGGTAGTTTGTCAGACTTATCATATTACTGTTATACTTGGTGGGACACTACACGAATGAAACTGACCTGAAACACTATTATGGAGTAAAAACTCCAAAAATAGTTGTATGCAGAGAGTATTTTATTGTTGGCTAGGTATGACAAATTTATTGAACACGAACATTACGTTGTCGTCATCAAAGGTTGAGTCTTCGTCATCTTCAACATTCTGTCAGAGTGCAAAATGATATTTCTTGTAGATGGTATTCACACTGATCAAAAAATGTCACTTGAAAAAATGAGGTTATTATTATTATTATTATTGCTGCCGGGCTGAGGAGAGCGGCCCCTCTCGTTACCGCGACCTATAAGATCTATTGTAACTTTAGCCCTCCAAAGGTTTAGGGAAAATGTAGGTCCTTAATGAACCTTAGTATTGTCCTGAGGTCTTGAACCTTTATGTCGGTAGGTAACAGGGGAGTTTTACCGAAGACGTTGTGCCTTAGACGGCCTCTGGCGACGCAATTGCACAGTATATGTTCAGCAGTTTCTGACTCGTCGTTGCATAGTCGACAACTTTGATCCTCAGCTTGTCCAATGTGAAAGAGGTGGTATTTTAGGAGCACATGGCCGGTCAGGTAGAGCGTTCTTAGATCCCCTTTGCTGAGGCATAAAACCTCTTTGGTTTTGTTTTGCGACGGAGTTATCATACTCTTCGCTTGTCTGTGACCTGGAAGTTCTTTCCAGCGTAAGGCTATCTTTGAAGCCTCCCAGTTGTTGATTATTTGTTTCAGGTGGCTTTTTTGTAGTCCACATCCAGGTTGGGGTCCAATGAAGGGCGTGTTTGCTGCCTCTTTGGCCAGCTTGTCGGCCTTCTCATTGCCCTCAATGTTGCTGTGACCTGGAACCCACCATAGGGTAACATCATTGCCCCTAGCGAGTTCTCTCAGGTTGTTGGTGCACTCTCTGATCAGTGCGGAGCCACACGTGTAGGCCTGAATTGCCTTTAAGGCGGCCCGACTGTCTGTGAAAATGTTTATGGATGCACCTTTTTGTCCCTTCTGTAGGTTCAAAGCGGTGCAGAAGTTTATAGCAAGAACTTCTGCTTGGAAAATTGTTAAGTCCGAGCTGAGGGGCAATTTGATGTGGCTATTTGGTCCACTGATGCCCATGCCTACTCCAGATCTTACTGTCTTTGAAGCATCGGTGTACCAGGCTAGGGCTCCTCTTTTTAGTTGAGGCCCTCCTTTCGCCCAATCATCCCTGCTACTAAATATGACCTTATACGGTTGGTTGAAATTGTATTCCGTCGGTATAAGGTCCGTTTTAATTTCAATCAGGTGATTTAGACATGGGTCTTTGAGGATCTCGAGGTGTCCTCTGAGATTACCCTGCATCAACTTGAGTGAAGAAACTGTTTTCAGTGATAAGGCACTTAAGGCTGCCTCCTTTTGTATATATATGTGGAGCGGTGTGAGACCAAGTAGGGCTTCCAAAGCAGCCGTCGGACAGGATCTCATTGCACCCGTTATGTTAAGACATGCTAACCGCTGGATTTGTGCCAGCTGTTGTTGAGCTGTCTTATGTTTTGTTTTTGGCCACCAAACCAATGAGGCGTAGGCGACCATGGGTCTGATTATTGCTACGTAGGCCCAATGAGCCATTCGTGGTTTGAGACCCCAGTTCCTTCCTAGGAGCCTGCGGCAGATCTGGTTTGCCATGATGGCCTTTTTCCTCACCTTATCTAAGTGTGAGTTCCAGTTTAGTTTACTGTCAAGTATTACCCCTAGGTATTTAGTTTCTGTTTTGAGGTTAATAGTTCTGCTTTCAATGGAGGGTGCTTTTATTTGTAGCTTCCTTCTCCGAGTGAAAGGGACTATTTCGATTTTATTGGGATTGATGCTGAGCCCATTGCTTCTGCACCAAGTACTGGTGAGTAGTAGGGCTTTCTGCATTAGCTGAGTTATGATTGAATCATATTTACCTCGGATTGTGATTACCAGGTCATCAGCATACCCTTGTATCTTAAATCCGTTTTTAGTTAGGGTGTTCATCAAGTCATCAACTACCAGGCACCATAATAGAGGTGATAGCACTCCCCCTTGGGGACATCCTCTTAGCGCCTTTATAGTCAGCGACTCGCCTCCCAGACTGGCTGTGATCTGCCGACTTTTCAACATGGCTATACACCACTTGATTGTCGACGGATGTATGTCTTTTACGTTTAAAGCCTTCTCTATGGATTCATATGAGGTGTTATCAAACGCACCCTCTATATCTATGAAAGCACAAAGGGCTATCTCTTTGGTTGCAATTGCCTCCTCTAAGGTGCTAGTCAAAGCATGGAGAGCGGTAATTGTTGATTTTGCTTTCTGGTAAGCATGTTGGCTAGGGTGGAGTGGATTTGTGAGAAGCACTCCATTCCTTAGGTATTGATCGATTACCTTTTCCATCCCTTTGAGGAGAAATGAAGTTAGGCTAATTGGTCTGTACGCCTTGGGGTCCGCGTTTGAACGCCTACCACCTTTAGGTATGAAGACCACCTTTACTTTCCTCCATAGAGTGGGTATATAGCTAAAGCTGTAGCTAGCTATATATAGGGATATTATTATTGGGAGAAGGTCTTCTAAGCCTTTTTGCAGAAAGAAAAATGAGGTTAGTACGGACATAAGATAGATAACAAATTTCTGTTTGGTTAACATCATTTTCCAGCACAGCTTTAAACAAGCACGGCCGTTTTCGATCGGTCGCCTCCGACTAGCATTTTTTTAATGAAACGACAAAAAAAGTCACTTAGAAACATAGAAAACAATCGATATAGGTCTCATTAAAAAGACCAACGTGATTTCAATGAGATGATGCAGCTCCACATAACGTACAGATAGTGACTGGACCGCGGGTATCCAAGACGATGGATTGGATATGAATGGATATGAATATTAATTTGAGGTATAGGACATATGGAATATAAAAGATGTAAAATGAGACGCCGAAGACGACGAAGTAATAAAATATGGGGGTGCCATTTAAAAAAATGAAGTTATGGTACTTCCAAATTTTGAAAAGTTAACGTGCCATAGTAAAGTGACCAACGATCTAGACAGCCGTTCTCGGCACCAAAACACACTCCATCATGTTGCTTAAGCATGACAATTGCATGATTAGCATGAAATTGATACTTAAATCTGAATTCTCAAATTTTTATTTTAGCCAAAACTCCAGAATCGTCTAATGACCGGTCTCGCTGAGACATCCTGTATAATACTACATATTGTTAAAGACTACTATCCGTGCAAAAAGTCAAGGCCCCTCACTTTAGAGATCGATATCTTCGCAACCGCTCGATAAAAAAAATGCGACAAAGTTTGTTACAATCACTGAACATTTCTACGTAACATATATTAATTTGAAAATTTTCGGATCCACAGTTTTCTTTTTATCGCGAGTTAAATGAAAAAAGTACCCGATTTTTTACGGTACCGGCAACTTTGTCAACTTTACATTTTCTCGCAGATTTGACCAAAATATGTCAAATAATGTCGATTATCGGATTTCGTTATCAGTTTTTCAAAATTAGAGATCCCTAATTTTTTAAGTGCGATTTAATGGAATTACATATTAAAGAGAAACAGAAATAAGCTTTGCAGGGTGACGGGGGTTCTGTCCAATCGGAACAGATGGTGCGTCCTAGACAGGACGTCGCGCCTTATTTCTTTATGTAGGTAAGATAAAGGCGCAACGTACTGTCTGGGATGCACCATCTGTTCCGATTAGACGGAACTCTCCTCTCCCCGCATCACAACTTAAAATAAATTCGTGTTGCATTCCGCTTTAACTTTTTTATCGTTTGCCGAATTATTTCCTTATTTGTTCTCTGGAAATAATTGAGAGTAGTACTACAAAACAGCTTCAGCTTGTTAAAAGATGGCTAATAATTATTGACACTTTCAAAGATTTTGCCAAAAGCGACACCTCTTAAAAATATTTCAAACCTTTTTTCAAGCCCTTCACCATTTATAAACAAAATAGTGATTAACTTTTCGTAACATATAATAATATAACACCTATAATAGCTGCGTTATTCAAATTACATTTACTTTAGGTGCTGTATAATAACTTGGTCCTTTTTACTATATCAAACTTGCATGTAACATTTATTTAATAAACTTTGTATAATATAATAGGAAATACTTTTTTGAAATTTGAGCGTATAGGTAGGCAGCCAGTAGCACACTACACCCTTCTCTTACTTCCAAAAACTTTCAAATCCCTTTTTTACAAATTGTTAGTTACAAATGTATGCCTTTGATTATTTACTACAACTTTAAAATTATTTGTGTATTTTATTTCATTTATAATAAATTTCTTTTCTTAATGCATCAAAAACCCAAAAGGGACTCTCATTAAGCCTCTCACTGAGCCTGATGGCCTCTCATCCACAATATAGATTAATTTAAAAATTAAACTCTTCTTACCTCTTTATTATTAGACAGCCATAATTCATAATTTTCATTCATCGATACCACACCTCTTACATTTTCTTCATCTACAAGCTTTAAGAAGATTACTTTAAAATGTAACAATGCAATGAACAGTTATTTACATCATGTTTATCTAAAATGAAGTAGGTACCTAATAGAAGATCTTACTTTTGCTGTTTGACTAGGGAATGGTAGAGCCCCCAAAATAACATTTTCATCAATCCGATCATACCATCTCCTGGAAGTAATCTTCTCCATGCAAACATTGTATACCAATGTTGGAAAAAATGTTACCCTAGCAAACATTATTCAATGGTTATTCTAATTAAAATCTATTTTCAATATACACTTTCACATTAACTTTCAACAACAAATTAAATCGATTTTCTAGGTCATAGTTGAGGTTAGGTATGAAAAAGAAAAGAAAGTTTATTAAGTGGGGAGGAAGAGAGGGGTTTAATGTAAAAAAGTTGGAATAAGGTAAAAACTTTATGTTAGTCATTATAAATTCGAACCTACCGTGCTAAAACTTCTTGCATGTTCCTTTTTTGTAATTTCTGATTTGGAGATTGGGTAAAATCAAATGTCAAAAATATGCGCGATCAATGACTTTAACTTACAGAATTTACGTCCTTTGCAAAAATTCAATAAATTTTTTTTATCAACTGTTAACGTATTATATATAAATTGTATTTATAATTTGTATCTGTATGTAAAGTAATTACTACAAAACATTTTAAATACAATAATTAAATGTAGTTCACATTCGAACTTTAAAAAAGAAAAAGATAGAAGATGGACTTTGAATAAACTAGCAGAAATCAAAATTTTTTATTTTAAAATTGTTTTGTTATTTTGTAGTAAACATTGTACGTCTTAAATGAAAAACCGCTAATAAACCAAATTTAAACCTATCTTCAAATATAAAAGGTTTATGTTTAGCACAAAATTAGTATTCAGTTCTCATCATAGACTTTAACTGTGACTTTAATCAGCTGCCAAAATCGTGTCAACTGTCAAAACTGACAAATCTTAACATTACGTTTTTCTTAAACAAACTGTACTTTACGATTTATTAAATTGAAAAATATTCGAATTAATATTGAAACTCAATAAAAATATGGATTTAATTGACAAACGTTTAACGTAATTTCCTCGAAATAAAATTAAGGTTATGTTAAAAAATGAAGCATTAAGATAAGAGTTTAGGACACGTATGTAATTACAAATATTGTAATAATTTAAAAATCAGTGTAATAGTATCGCAATTCGACTGAAGAAAAGTGAAAATGCGTTATAAACTATTACTTTTTATATTCATTACACTATTGTGTTGTGAGTTTTCTGAGGAATCATTAGAAGGCCCTCCAGGTGATGGAAAGAAAAAGGAAAGTGATCAAGATGATACTAAAAAGGACTATGATAGTGAGAATAGTTTAGAAGTTGAAGATTTGGATGCATTAAAAATTGTTGCAGCCCCTGATTTAAGTAAAGATCAGGATAAACATACTAAAGGTTTGAAACTGTAATATAATATTAATTAATTTAAGTTTAAAAGAACAATTTAGGTTGTTGTAAGAAAGAAGACTTTTCTTTCTTAAAGTCTTTCTTGATTATAACTTATTAAAATATTCATGATGTAAACATTTCTACAGAGAAACCTTTAATGATTTTTTATCCAAAAAAATTATGAAGAACTATAAATTTAAAGTTATATTTCTTTCTCAAATAAAATTTTAAAAAAATACCTTTTTTTTTAAGGAGAACTAAAATTAAGCGATGAAATTTCTGAAGCCGTTGACATTTTTGTATTAAATCAAGCAAAATTTCTCCAAAAAGTAGTTCAGGATTTTGATGGTATAAAGTATGCAATCATTCAAAGTGAGCAGCAACAAGAAGAAGATGAAGAATTACCTGTGTTAGCGAAGAAATTTCAAGATGATAATCCTCCTCAACTCACTCCCGAACAACAAGAGGCAACAATATTATATGAAAGAGGCACCTTGATTTTAAATAAAACCAAGCCTAATATAAAAGAAGCTTATAAACTATTTGAAGAATCCTCTGAAAAAGGAAATGCAGATTCAAAAGCTCTCATTGCATGGGCTCTTTTATTTGGTTATCCTTTGAATCAGAACTTAACAGAAGCTAAGATTATGTTCGAAGAATTAGCAGAAATGGGACATGCCCAAGGTCATATGGGAATGGGATTTTTATATGCTTCTGGTTTGGGTGGCGTTGGCGTCAGTCAATCAAAAGCACTGATTCATTACACATTTGGAGCAATTGGGGGTAATTCTTGGGCCCAAATGGCTTTAGGTTATAGATATTTTTCCGGGGTTACTGTTTCGGCAAGTTGTGAAAAGGCTTTGGATTTTTATCGAATAGTTGCTGATAAAGGTAAGTTTGTTGCCCCTCTTTTATATTAATATTTTTATCAAAATAGTTGCAACATTACTATCAACAAATCATTCATTCAATATCAATAACATTATTTTATTTTATTGTGGGACAACATGATCATGTTAAACTGTGGGTTCTAATCATATAGCCATTTATATACTTTATCATAATTAACATATAGGACTAGCGCCAGACGTGAATGCACGTTAGCTCTCTTTGAAGCTTAACTATGTGTGAATGAAATCGATTCAAGTCAGGTGCCCCAGAAAGTTGTTTCCTCCTCCTAGCCATCAGGCTAGGAGGAGTTTAAGTTTTGATGTGTACATAAAGACTTGTAAAGTCGTTCTAAATTAGACTGGTTGAATCTTGTTAATTAGAACCTTACTTAATAATAAAAAGTATATTGTCCTCCTCCTTTACCCTGGTTTGGGACCAACAACAGTGGTGCTCGGTTATTCAACAAACTCAATCCACCCTTCCAGTGCAAGCGGAGTTTAAGTAGACTCAACGCGAAAATAAATCGAAAGACCACAGCAATAAATACAAACGGTGATCTTCCAATGACCACTATACCCAGGATATCTTCTGAAAACAGAGAACCTAAAGCAATATCTAAGCTGCTCCTTTATGCAACTACAGATTAATATGCAGAGGCAACAGGAACAATGGTGCGCAGTGGTGAAAGTATAAGTATACATTCTGCCTGAACTAGGCAAGCTTGTTTTAGCAATATCTAGTCTTTAGCAATACATATTATAAATATTAGCAATATCTAATTTTTTGCCAATCATCAAAATGAACTGAAATATCTAAGCAACTTGTTACAGTCATAATCTTAGTATACAAAATAGTTTTAAAAAAATATTTATTTTTAATTTTACTACATTTTTTCTACATACAGGGTGTCTCAGCGAGACCGGTCATTAGACGTTTATGGGGTTCCGGCCAAAATTAAAATTTGAAAATTCAGACTTAACTATTATCAATTACGTTCTCTTCGACTAAAATATTTTCAGATTTCTAGCACTTCCGGTTATACCGGAACTCGCCACCTACTTTATTTTTTTAAATGGAACACCCTATACAGGATGTACAAAAAGTGTTAAATAAAAGTTACTTGAAACTATTTTCCGCATATCTTGGCGTAGAAATAAAATAAAAATGATGACGGCAGTCTGAGTTACGACATGGTGAGTGTGTTTTTTAAATGGAACGCCCTGTATATTTTAAGGTTTTTGGATTCCTTTTGACTATTTGTTGCAAAATGCCATAAGGTTTTAATGCTTTAAACTGCATAGTTTTCCAGATATTGAAACTTTTATTTAAAAAGATTTGACGACAACCAAATTATGGCGTCATTATGGAATAGACAACCTAAGCCTTGACGTCACAGGGATGGGCGGAGCTTATACCGACTCCAAACATCTTCGTTGCTAACGAAAAATCCCCATATGCAATTTTTCAATAGTCAAAGCTTAGGTTGTCTATAGACTGCCTAAGTCTGACGTCACAGAGGTGGGCAGAGCTTATACTGACTCCAAACAATTTCTTTGCTAACCACAGTTGCTAAGATAAATCGCCAAAAAATGTCATTTGAAATGTCATCACTTAGTTTATTTTATTTTAACACTATACTCTGTTTTTAAACCAGGAGGAGTAAACGCGAAAGTCAGATTTACACTAGGAAAAATCACAAGAAAATATCACTAGATATTTTGGCGGTAAATTTAAATTAATAATAATTATTATTTATTTATTTACTTATTATTGTATTTATTTTCGTTTGTTATCGTCAACACTAAACATACAAATTAACATTGAAGTTATGAGTGTATTTATTTCAAAATATAATAAAGAAGGGTTTAAGAACACAAAATTTACAATAATGATACGAAACTGTCGAATTGTCAATAACCTTCAAATTCAAAATCAAAATTCAAAATTGCCTGTGTGAACCTTCCTCGCATTCAACCAATCACGTGCAAGGTCAATCTGGTGACAAATTTAAACTACTCCTCCTGGTTTAAAAACAGAGTATAATGGAAAATTGCATATGGTGATTAACCGTTAGCAACAAAAATGTTTGGAGTCAGTATAAGCTCCGCCCATCCCTGTGACGTCAAGGCTTAGGTTGTCTATTGGTAACAAAAATGTTTTGAGTCGGTATAAGCTCCACCCATCTCTATGACGTCAAGGCTTAGGTTGTCTATTAATGTTAAAATAAAATAAACTAAGTGACATTTTAGATGACATTTTAAATGATTCTTAATGATTCTAGGAAAGTCTAAGCTCTGTCCATCCCTGTGACGTCAAGGCTTAGGTTGTCTATTCCATAATGACGCCATAATTTGGTTGTCGCTACGTCAAATCTTTTTAAATAAAAGTTTCAATATCTCGAAAACTATGCAGTTTAAAGCATTAAAACCTTATGGCAATTTGCAACACCTTGTTAAAAGGAATCCAAAAACCTTAAAATATACAGGATGTTCCTTTTAAAAGACACACTCACCATGTCGTAACTCAGACTGCCGTCATCATTTCTTTTATTTCTACGCCAATATATGCGGAAAACAGTTTCAAGTAACTTTTATTTAACAAAGTACCATTGAAATTTCACAAAGAATCCAAAAATGTAATAATATACAGCATGTTCCACTTAAAATAACAAAATTGGTTTCCGGTAGAAGCGGAAGTCCGCCGTTACTGAAACTAATTTTAAAATATGTACAATATGATTCGATTCAACTTTTATCTGAAACATTTTTTGAAAAACTCAATCATAATTCGGCTATGGTCCAAGGCAACTAAGGTGGGACACCCCTGTATATTGTAGAAGGTGGTCTTCATTGGAAGTATCATTCTTCTGCCAGCAGCTAATATAAAGAGGGAGATCCGCTCTTCCATTGAAAATATCGTATCTTCTGCCAGTAGTATTTACTATTCTGCCTGAACTAGGCAATCTTCTTTTAGCAGTATCTAACCTTTAGCAATACATGTTATAAAGAATTAGAGAGCGACCCTTTTTACGTTTTTCACTCTTTTATTAATTATTTATTATAAAGAAATACAACAGAACTTTTTATTTGGCACGTAATCACTCGTGTACGGTTCTTTTTCAACTAATGTCTCTACCCGACACCCCACCAGTGTTGCAGGAAGATGCCAGTTTCGCACTACAGATGGTGTTACTGTTGTAGTCGTCCTCGACTTCATTCGGATCGTAGGGTGCACACCATGTTCTTAGGCGGTCAGCTGAGTAAATTTGGTTGAATTTCCTTTGAGAATTTTCAGCTCCTTCTATGTCTACGATTCTATATCTATCGTTCGGGAATACTTCGGCTATCTGGTACGGTCCTTTAAGTGTGGTTTTAGTTGTCTCGGTTCCCCGGTAGCAACAGGATCTTTCTGAATCAGAACAAGATCTTCCACGTGATATTTCGTAGGTTTCCTTCTGTGATTATCAAAATACTCTTTCGGCTTCACTTGTTCGTCTTTGATTCTTTCTAAAGCTTGCAATCTCAAAATCGTCCGATCTATTATGTCTTCGTCGGCGGGTCAGAATTATATGCCCGGTTTACAAAAAGAAAAAGAGTGAATGCACACAAACTTATAGGTATACTGGACTATACTGGAAATAGAAGATGGAAGCAAAAATTACTCTACTAGATGGACAGTCAGGGTTCAGAAGGAGAAGAGGGACTATAAGAACATATTTGTATTGAGACTAAATACAAATTGAGAAAATTGTATGCACTGTTCATAGATCTAAGAGCGGCCTTTGATACAGCAAATAGGGAGAAATTGTGGCAGGATCTGAAGGAAAGGGAAATTAGTGAATATCTTATAGACAAGATGGAATATACCTCTTTCATATTCCACCATATTCCTCAGAGACAGGTATTAACTCTTTTGGACAAACATAAAAACATTGTATAATGCTCTGATGCGGAAGATACGGGACATCTGTATATAACCGGTCGATTGAATCTGGAGTTTTTCCACGTGTTTGGAAGGAGGCTCATGTAATCCCTATCTTTAAATCCGGAAATCGTGGTGAGGTATCTAATTATAGGTAAATTGAATAGATATTACTTTCTATTTTACTGTTAATCGATGTATTAATTAAAATATTTCCTTTACATGTTTCGGCTTATTAGGCCATCATCAGAAGGTTTAACGTTAATATGGTTGGGGAGGAATTGGAACTTTAATTTAACTTTACACTACTAATAACATCAAGGGAACGATGTTCATTTTATTGGGACGAGATTTGAGGTTATAGACGTATCATGCAACGTCGAAGGAAATATTTTAATTAATACATCGATTAACAGTAAAATAGAAAGTAATATTTATTCAATTTACCTTAAATAATATCGATGAAAATGGATTTATATAATAATTTTATCTAATTATAGACCTATTTCTTTATTGCCATTATTTAGTAAAATACTTGAAAAGCTTATTTATAGAAGACTTATTTTTATTGTGAAAAGTAAAATGTACTATAGACAGCACGGCTTCTTTGCATGTCGTTCGGTTGAGAGCAACTTGTTAGAATACACCCACTATATTTTAAACTCTATACATGATTCCTCTCAAGTTGACTCCATTTATACTGATTTTAGTAAGGCTTTCGATCGAGTCGATCATGCTCTGCTTCTTTCAAAACTTCGTATGTTTGATATTGACGAACATCTTGTGCGTTGGTTCGCCTCCTATACGCGTGGAAGGACTGTAAAGGTGAATATCAATGGTGATGTTTCGGATAGCATGATTGTTACCTCCGGTGTACCACAAAGGAGTCACTTAGGACCTCTTCTATTTAATATTTATATCAATAATATTTTGTCAATAATTAAACTCTCTCATTGCTTGATCGAGTTTCTTCACATTTGGATTGCTCGAGGCTTCGAAATTTCTTGACACTGAACTCTGAAAAATGTAATGTTATTTCTTTTACAAGGAGGCCAGGCATGATCAGATACGATTACAGCCTGGGTGATGATACCATAGTTAGAGTGACTCAGGTCAGGAACTTAGGCGGCACATTTGGTGTCAAACTAACGTTTGAGGGCCAAGTTGATGGAGCTGTTGCTAAGGCTTGGCGCATGCTTTTCTTCGTTATGAGAGTCACGCAAAATGTTACAAATATTTATGCTATAAAAAGATTTTATTTCACGTGTGTGCATAGTGTTTTAAGCTATCTATGTTTTAAAAGCATAGATTACGTATCAGCCTCCTTCATCTTCTTATCGCTCCGTCAGCGTCGTTCATGTAGAGATGACATTTGACATTCCATAAAACCATTAATGATAGTATTGACTTTCCTAGCCTTCTTGAGGTCGTTAATTTTCGTATTCATCCCCTGTGTCTTCGGCTCGATTGTTTATTTTACATGTCTTCTCCTCGTATGAATGTCTTCCAGAACTCTCCCATGTTGAGAATGGCGCGCACTTGCGACCATATACATCGTAGCGCGAGGGTTGACGTTTTTTGCGACGAAGGCACGGTGCCATGGGTTCGTCCCGTTTTCGTGCTCAACTGTATGTGTTAAATAAATAAGATATTAGGGGAGTGTTGGAGGAAGGTTAACTGGGGTAGGGGTATAGACAACAAGAATATTGTATCAGGGTACTCAACAGACGAAATACGAAGAAGGAGGGGGAAAGGGTTAACAATATGGAAGACGTCCTTCCATATTGTTAAGTGCTCAGGGAGATACAATAATAAGTATAAGGTCTTAATGACGGAGGAAATTTCGACGTATTTGATGGAGGAGAGTAGAGGGAAGAATAAAAGTATGATTGCGCAATTTAGGTACGGGAATGAAGAGAGGGCGAATAAACATTGGGTGGGGGATGAGGAGTGGATGTGTAGATTGTGTGGGGATGATTGGAACACAATAGATTATGTGCTGAGGTATGAGTTGAGGGAAGGTAGTATGGAGTGGGAGCGTCTACTGGATGGCGGGGGAGAAGGGAGAGCGTGGATGGAGGGGGGAGAGAGGAGAGCGTGGATGGCGGAGGTGATGTTCCTCCACTTGTTCTCAGTGGCTAGTTTTCTGGGCTTGTTTTTTAGAGACGTCACCGATTGGCGACAACAAGTGGAGGGAGGAAATCGTACAAAAGTTTCAAAAGTTTCCCGGACAGTTTAGGAAACGTGCGCCCCTCCACACTAAACGAATACCTTGATAAGCGTACGCTTCGATTTAATTCATTGAATATTGAGACTGGAGTGGGAGGTGTTTTAGGATCACTTTCCTAAACTGTCCGGGCTCTGGTGATGAGGATGTATACTACCTATTGTACAGCCAGAAAAAAAGAGTTGCGTCGACGTTTTTTCGTGTAGGCCGTCCAAATTACACAAAATCCCATATACAGTATCAAGGTCCGTTAAGGCCCATAGACAAAACCCTTGTTGTGACGTCATTGGAAGAATTCTCATTTCTGTTTTCATTTGTACAGTGTGTCCCAGGATAGATGTTACAAGAGGTATAATGACTTAAAATTTTTGAATTTCATTTTTAGGCTGAGAAATTAAGCCCTGCTTGGTGTAAAGAAAATTTTAAAAAAATTTTATTAAAAAAAGTTCAAAATGAGAAATTATGGTCCTATACAAAATTTCAGAAGGATCTATCTACTTTATTATTAATTTTACTTTATTTATAAAAAGTCTAACGTAAACATAACTGTCGTTTATTCAACATAACATCCACCTTTTGTTGCACACTTTTCTATACAATGCCTAAATTCTCTACAGCTAATTTTCTCCTGTCGTTATATTTCTTTTTCTCTCTCTTAACGTTAACAACGCTTCCTGAAGTTAGAAATTTCTTAAGTATTCGCATAACAGTCACACATGTAAGATTGGTATTAGGAAATCTCTCGTTAAACTGCTACACCACTGGTCTTAGTGCACTTTGCCCAAGCGCATAACACTGCACAACGTAAATTTTCTGTTCCAATGTTAACATAATGCAAGAGTAATTAAAATGTGAACTAAAACTTAGGGATAATACATTTTTTTATGGCATATTTCATTGTTGTTTTTCTTCACTCTGATCTCTTTCTGTACTCTTTCTGAAATTTTGTATAGTGTCATAATTTCTCATTCTGAACAACTTTTCTTAATGAAATTTTGTCGTATCATAAATAAAAAGCTTACTTTACCTGAACTAAAAATAGTTTTCGCTTCACTGTCAAGGCAGAGATGATTTTCAAAATATGAAAATATACTTAAAATTCTCTCCACACCTAGCACAGCTTAATTCTCCATCCTTAAAATAAAATTCAAAATTTTTTAGGTCATTATACCTATTGTAACGTCTATCCTGGGACACACTGTATACGTAAACCAACAGAAACTCTTTATTTCTTGAGTTTAATAAGATTTGTTTAATTTTTAAATAATTATTAACATAAATATTATTATAATATTATATTAAATTTACACTTTATCATATTATGTTATATTTTTCCTCCAATGACATCACGTTTCCTACCTCACCCCGCCAACGTCAAGTTGTTCGAGTTGGATAACCTTATAACCGATACTCAACGGACCTTGATACAGTACGTAAAATTAACCCCGAAAATGTAATTTGGACGGCCTATACGAACGAAAGTCGGCACATCTCTTTTTTTTCTGACTGTACATGCAATCCAATATATTATGTATTGTAGCTGTTGTGTATTAATTGTATATTGAAAGTAACAATAAAGAATATTATGTATTACATCCCTTTATTAATACTTTCTCTAGAATTAAAATTTATTTATTTAGTTACTATACCATTCATTTATAATTTGTATATGTCTCTATACCTATTATTTTTACCACTTATTTTTCTAATATGTTTTCTGTGTTCTCAATTTTTATGGTTTCCAATTTTCATAGTTTCTTATTTCCTTGCCGATTTCGGACTTAATTAGTTTGTGTCACAGTTGTAAATTTGATAAAATGATCCATTACGCTCATTATAATTTACTAACTCCCTCGTGTTCACTGTATATAAACTACCTACCTAGTTGGATCCCACACTTCGTTGGAAATTGTTCCATCTTATAGTTTTGTATTGCTGGTACATTTCAACTTTACATTTATTCAGCTTCTTGTATTCTTTACATTCTTTCGTTGTAAATATTTTCAAAGAATATATGGATAATTGAAAATAATTGAATTTTTTGACATTGTTATATTTACGTTGTTTACATGGCGATTTTTATTTAAACCACAAATTTTATTAAAATGTTTATTATAAATTATTATGTTCAGTAACAATATTGTATATTGGACTGTTTCTTTTAAACACTAATTCGTTTGTTTGTTTAAAAAATAGTCAGCCAAGGTGTTTCGTTCGGTGGTGGAACTGCTATTCAACGAATCCGGCTTTTAGATGAATTAGAAAATGGTTACACAACTGGAATTTTGGACAACGATCTAATCGAATACTACCAATTATTAGCCGAAAAAGGTGACATTCAGGCACAAGTCGGTTTGGGTCAATTGTATTATCAGGGCGGTCGAGGGGTCGAATTGGATTACAAAAAAGCTCTGCATTATTTTGGACAAGCGGCTAACGCCGGAAATGCCAACGCCATGGCTTATTTAGGAAAAGTATGTTTTAGAAAATAAATTGTACTAAAAGAAACGTATTAATATTTTAAATATTTAGATTTATCTGGATGGGAGCGATGAAGTTGAACAGAGCAATGAGACGGCATTAAAGTTTTTTAAAAAAGCTTCCGAACTAAATAATCCCGTTGGTTTAAGTGGATTGGGAGTTATGTATTTGTACGGACGTGGAGTTGAGAAAGATTACGTGAAAGCATACAAATATTTTCTTGTAGCAGCTGAACAGGGATGGGTGGACGGACAATTACAACTTGGAAATATGTATTTCAGTAAGTGTTACCACTTGTTTCATGTACTTTTAATAATATTTGAGCTATTTCAAATATTCAAAAACAACTTTTTATAAATATAAAAATGGTTTGATTTGAATCAGATTCGTTTTTTTAGACGGTCTAGGAGTGAAAAAAGATTACAAATTAGCCAATAAATACTTCTCTTTGGCCGCTCAATCCGGTCATGTTCTCGCCTTTTATAATTTGGGTCAAATGCACGCTTTGGGAACCGGGATGATGCGATCCTGTTCCACTGCCGTTGAATTTTTCAAAAACGTCGCGGAAAGAGGTCGATGGGGTGAACTTTTAATGCAAGTAAGTAAACAAAACGTATTTAGCTATACGCCTCTTTAATTTAACATCTATAATATCTAATCCTAATTAAATGGTATCAAACAACTAACATTAGAAATTTGACGTTTTTCAGGCTCACAATTTTTACCGCGAAAAAAATTTTAACGAAGCTTTCGTCCAATATGCTCTTTTATCCGAATTGGGTTATGAAGTTGCCCAAAGTAATACAGCTTTTATGTTAGACCGAGATGAAGTGCCTATCTTTGAATCGCCTCAAGGTCTCTCTAGAGCGTTACTTTATTGGGGACGTGCGGCATCTCAAGGATATTCACCAGCTCAAGTAAAAAAGAAAACAAAGCAAACAACAATTTATATAATTTCTAATGCATTTTTGAAATATTTTTTAAGGTTAAACTAGGTGATTATCATTATTACGGTTTAGGAACTTCAATTGATTACGAAACGGCAGCTTCTCACTATCGTTTGGCGTCTGATCAACAGCACAATGCGCAAGCAATGTTCAATTTGGGTTATATGCACGAACAGGGATTAGGAATGGCTAAGGATATGCACTTGGCGAAGCGATGCTATGATTTGGCCGCGGAAACTAGTGCTGATGCTAGAGTTCCTGTCGCTTTAGCACTTTTCAAATTGAATGTAATGTTCAGTTTGCAAACGATTAATGAGGTATATATATACACTTTTCGTTTCATAAATAATAAGAGAATGACCAATACTGCATTTATTTAGCGCTTAATTTGTTTTTGGTATTGTACATAAATTTCATTATGCCTACTCTAGCTAATACATTACTTACTGCGTACTCAGGGTCGATAGATAGGAAGATAGCGTAAAACAATCCTGAAAGTACATCATCCGTATTACATTACATAGCATTACATACTATATCAGGTAGGCGGACCAACCACCCTTGCAACGCGATCCTAAGGATCTATTTTACCCTGATAGATAACGTTATCAAATTTCACCGTGTAGTCCAATGCTCTTAACGAACATCAATACCTTGCTCAGTGAAAGGTCATTCAGATCCTTCGGGGAGATAAACTGCAACCCAAAAATCGAGAATCTGATATGGTTAACAGCAGGGCAGTGGCATAAAACATGCTCAACTGTCTCTGCTTCCTCCGCACATAGTCAACAAGTTGAGGTGTGATTTTAATCGGCAGTACCCAGTAAAGACGCCCATTAGAACTTTAATGCTGCTACAAAGTGTTGATATAAATAAACACGTTAGCATATCTCATTCCAGGAGAACTGGTCCACAGTAGGCGAAGTCTCTCTTCAGTCCACAGTCCAATCCTATGTTTTGCCATCGCAAATGATACACCAACTACTGGTTCTGGCCGCACAAACGCTTTAGCGCTGCCCTCTCGTGCTAGCTCATCTGGCGCTTCATTGCCAATAACCCCAGAGTGTCCTGGGACACAGATCAGAGAAACCCTGTTATCAGAACTCAGTGTGTTTAATGATCTCTTACAATCATTAACCAGAGTAGACACCGTTTTCGCGGCTTGCAGCGCCTGGAGAGGGGCTTCACCCCTCTCTCAAGAAGGATTTTAGCACCCTTGCTATTGACAAAGCAAATACTTCCGCCTGGTATACAGTACAGTATGTACCCAGGCTGCAAGCTTGCTTAATTTCGACTTCTTCCGGCGTTTTTGATGCATCTGTGAACATGCCTGAATCAGACAATTTTCGTTTTCGATACAGGACTGTCATTCAGGTACTACAATCTGATATAGATCATTAATTACTGATAGTGGTCCCGCTAAATCTGACGGCATTGATAGCATAGTATCAGTGCTTATAATGTCTTCCGCAACCCATTGGTAGGACATTTCGGAACAGTTTTGAGCATATTGCCTAAACCTATAAATGATAGTTCTACAGGATGGTCCATTTAACGTGAGACAAGCGATTATCTTGAAAACGGTTCATTTTACATAAAAATGAACCAAATGAAAGTTGTTCTGTGCAAAGGGTGAAGCCATATGACGATAACAATTTTTGACCTTGACCTTATTTTGAAGGTTATATCAAGGTCACGACCAACTTTTTTAAATAGCACCCTATGTTTTTGATTGCAAAATTTAGTGGCGCCAGTAGTTGCGCCAGTTCTATTTGTACGCCAGTAAAGGTTTACACTACATGTGCGAAAACAAAAATAAGTGACACGCCAGTTTCATTTTTAAAGTATACTACAACTATGTATATACAAAAATTAGGACCTCAACCGAAACGAAAATAGATATATTCTAGGTTTAATGTGGATAATTAAACGTTATCTTTGAATCTGTTAACGTAATTGGGATTTAAGTACGAATGCATTGAAACATAACCTAAATTTGACATTAAAATAATGTTGTTAAATTAAAATGTTAAAATAGTAAATGTTGTGTTTTTGTGAATCACTGGCGCCAGTGATTTCCGAAGGGTGCAGACTTTTAAGATCCATGCATGTATGATTTCAACTTGCATGCCAGTTGATATTTACACATGCCATTTAATTTTACTGGCGCGCCAGGGTGTATGTCTAAACTCACTATAAAAGTAAAATAATTAAAAAAAAAATTTACCGTGTGGTTTTGCCAGTACGACGGCGACATAAAATCGCCGTCGTACGTTTGTAGACAAAATTTAAATAATTTTTTTATTCAAATAGTTTTAAATATTGTTTATTTATAAAAAAATAATTAAACTATACTATTAATCAACAACAAGTACCTATAAAATTTATAATAAATGTTCAAATATTTTCCCACTCACTTCAATACATTCATAAAGCCTTCTACTAAAACTTTCTTTACATCTTAAAATGTTTTCTTGGCTACTATTTCTGCATGCATTTCTTATCCGCTCTTTCATGTTTTCTGGCGTAGTCGGTACTTCACGATGAACATTATCCTTAAGGACAACCCACAAAAAAAATTGGAAAAGGAAATTGGACCTACCCTTCCAATCCATCGCCCAGCATAATCCCGATCTAAAGCTTCACGTGGAATATGTGAAAACTGTGCTGGACACCCATTATTTGGCAGCCACATATTTTGTCTTTCTTCCCTGCTTAAATCTACAAGTAACGTTGGTAAGACGTCATCTTATCTTATCTCCTCTTTTATCCATTTTTTTATTTTGTATCTATAATAGTATTTAGTTATATCTAAAAAGACTATTCCCCAAGTATAATTCCTTAGAAATAATTAATACCTTGGTAAATAAGTATTAAAGTTTCGCGCGTTTTACCAGCAAGCAACAACAATTTTAAAGATATGAGCCACAATTAACTACAAAATCAAAGAAATACTGACAAAAACGTGATAAACGTGTTGAGTTGTTCATAGAACCAGCTACGTCACTGACCCACCTTGCCTCTCAGAGGAGGAGAATCGGTATTGGGTAACCTTATGTTCTATAGACCTTGAACAAAGCTATAGTGTTATAACCTAACATTTCTCATGGGCCATATCATACTCTTTTACGTCACGACCAATAGCAGCGCGTTTAAGGCCGCTTGGAATAATTTAAATTGTATAGCATTTTAAATTATTTGTAGTGGCCGTTTGAGACAAAAAAAAATTGTTTTTTTACAAACAATGTTGATACGTGTTTTCATACAATATATACTTATGATATGTAATAATTTTTTCCCACTTAAATTTTTTTTTAAATTCCCCATTTTGCTATACCAAACATTAACCGACCAAGGTCGTTGATGTTCTACTTCACGCAACCATCTCGGATTTTCAACAAAAATTAATCGATTTTCAAAATCACCTCCATAAAGCTGTTGATGCAATGAAACGTGGTATGGGTGATACTTGTTGCACTTTAATATTCTTAAATAATAATTAACTTAATACTGGTCTTCGATATTCCGGCGTGAATTGCAAGTCGTCGAGTGCTAACTTGAGGATTTACCTCAACGCTAGTTAATACCGCAATTTCCTTCTTAAATAGTATTCTAAGAATTAAGAACTAAAGAGAATGTATCAAAGCGGGTAGGAAAATGTTTAAAAATTCATAAATCTTATTTGTTTTTGCTAGATTATAAACGTTAGTTAATTGTTTCTGAAGAAGTTTCAATTTTTTTCAAAAGATGTTTTGCCGTTGTACTGGCAAAACCTCGCGTTTTTTTTTAATTACTTTACTTTTATCCACAGATTCAAATTTTACAATAAAATATATAGGGTGCCATTTAAAAAATTGGTCGTGACCTTCATATAACCTTGAAAATAAGGTCATGGTCAAAAAATGTTATCGTCATATATTTTCCCCCTTCGCACAGAACAATAATTATCATTTGGTTAATTTTTATGTAAAATGAACTGTTTTCGAGCTAATCGCTTGTCTCACGTTAAAAGGACCAGCCTGTATATGCAAATTCAAAGGCGATAGGCCAGCAGAACATCCATTGCTAGAGTTGGCGTTGTGCTTATCGCACCAGAGATTGCCAATCCAGCTACTCGTTGAATTCGTGAAAGTTTACTGATAACTGAAGTCTGTCGGACTTTCATATACTAGGCTGCTGCTCCGTATGTGATCATAGATCTAACCACAGCCACATAGAGCCAGTACAGACTTTCAGGGGTTTCCACTTTTTCCACAAAGACTGCGACAAATCCACAAGGATAGTCTAGCTTTGTGCAAAACTCCCTGCAAATGTCCATTTCATGAGAGAGTTTTGTCTAGGATTACTTCTAGATATTTGACTGCCTTGGAGAAAAGAATTTCTTCACCTTGGATAGTTGAGTGGACTAGGCCATTCCAATTTCTTCTCCTGGTGAAGAGTACAACAATTGTCTCTTGCTGGTTTATCGAGCGATTCTCTCCGTCACACCAAGCGAATATGATATGTAGGGTACCTGGAGGAATTTGGATATCCTCGGCAAACAGGTTCCTTTCACCATAACAACAATGTCATCAGCATAAGCTTGTATTTCTACACCAACGGCTTCGACTATCGCAATCAGATCATCAACCAGGAGGGACCAATGCAGGGGAGATAACACCCATCCCTGCGGATCCAACCCGCTATAGTTGCTTCCACTCCCCTATCAAGAGCAGCTCTTTCAACAGATTGTGGTATTGCGTTGTTGAACGCACTTTCTATATCCAGAAACGCACAAACAAAGATCTCTTTATCCAGGATTCTCTACCAACCAAGTTGGGTAGAGCCAATTCTGCAGATTTTCCCGCTTGATAACCATACTAATGGCAACTCAGTGGACACTAGTAGCACTGTACAGATATACCGTTCCAGAACTTTTTCAAGGATTTTCAACAGAAATGATGTCAGGCTGATGGGTCGAAAGACATTAGGAGTAGGGATCGAATGGCCCGCTTTAGGTATATAGGATACCCTTACCTTAGTCCATTCTGCCGGTACATATTTCCAGGCGACCCTCGCTCTAAAAATTTTTACCAAAATTGGCAACAACAGTGACCTTCCTTGCTGTAACAAAGCAGGAAAGATATTGTCTTCTCCGGGCGATTTAAACGGCTTAAACGTTTGAATCGCCTGGTCGACGGATGTGCAAGTAACCACTTTTTTAGCCACACTCCAATCTGTATTTGAGGGGCGCTTTGCCATGCAGGAATAGCCCTCGCTGTGGCATTATCACCCCCCATGAGAAGTTCTAACGAGGCTCTGCTGGAGTCCATAAAACTACCGTCAGGCCGCTTAAGTGACCAGGGGCAGTGCCGGATCTCTAGCGAGAATCTTGTGAATTCTTGTACTGCTGGGTTTGTCTTTTACTTCCTCACAGAACCTCCTCCAAGACTCTTTTTGCCTTACGTATGTTTTTGGTGTAATTCGTTAGGCTTGTTATTTCAATCTGATTACAATTCCTAACGGTAGCGATGACACTAGTTAGGTATCTGCAAGGCAACTCTTAAACATATTTCAATTAGTGCTACGGGGATTACGGTACATACAGTCCGATTTCTTCCCCAGGTCAATTTTAAATGGAAGATGTCTATGATCTGAACACGACGGTTCAGAGGATACCCTCCAGGAGGTTATCTTTGAGCTTAATATGATTGAGCTGAACGTAATTTCAAGTACCTCTGCTCTATTTCTGGTAACAAAGGTTGATTTGGCGCCTACATTATTAACAGTAAGCTCCTCCCCTAATAGGTAGTCAAAAAGCAACTCGCCTCTTTAATTTGTGTTGGTGCTTGCCCACATTGTGTGGTGCGCATTGACGGCGCATCCAACAACCACTTGTAAGTTATTCCTCCAGCTGTAGGCAATTTATCCATATAGGACAATACTTATGAAATAATAAACCGTTAAAATAGCCAAAAAAAACTTGCTGATTATCAATTTTATATTACAGCATGTATCTGACAATTAAACTTTATAAAATAAGGCTTTAAATTTTTTTAAAAAGTTAGATCTTCACTAAATAATATTTCTTGTTTATTGGTTTTATTGCGATCATGTTTAAATTAAACTTATAACTAATTTTCATGGTCCAAAGTGTAAACTGAGGTTTAATTTGTAAAACGTGTAAGTTTTTGTTACAGAGTCCAATGTCTTCAATGTTTGATATGGAGGAAGCTATAATGAATTGGGATTTGTATTTAATAACAACATTAATAGCCATTTTGGCCGGGATTGTTTATTTTCGAAGACCTCAATTACCACCGCAAGCAGCATAAACTATTAATACTTTGCTACTATTTGTTATAAATAATCATCCTCATTATGATTATAATTACCTACCTTTGTATATATACATTACTTTATAATTTATCTGAGTGTGGATATTGGAATGAATGTTATTAGGAAAAAAATGAGCATTTAATTGTAATTATATCTTGAAAATAAACGAGATACTTTTAGTTTTTTATTGTTTTTTAATAATTGAAAAAATCATACAAATAAACTTACAGAACATTCCCAAGAAATTAAACGGGCACTTAATTATTATTATCTAAGCGTAATAATTCAAATTAGCTTTCTTCTTGGCTTGAACTTCCATGATAGCATCCATGTAATCTTCGTGGGTTACAGCTACTGCGCTTCTTCGCAAAGCGATCATTCCAGCTTCAACACAAACGGCTTTACACTGAGCCCCGTTAAAATCGTCCGTTGATCGAGCTAATTCTTCAAAATTAACATCCGGATTTATCGTCATTTTCCGGGAGTGGATTTGCATTATTCTAGCTCTGGCTTCTTCATTAGGATGTGGAAATTCAATTTTACGATCCAAGCGACCTATACAATATTAACAAAATAAGTTGTAGATAGTTTAAATTTTGAAAATATTTCTATTTGACAAGAATAATGAATTGGGTTTGCAAAAATTTTCTCCTTGTCCTTCATGCTTGAATCGAAACCGGAAACGATGGGAGGGAGACATGCAGGAGAGATAAAAATCAGCAATGAAGAAAACGAGCCAATAACTCTTGGGGCGGTGCAAGACGCCATCAAAAAAATAAAGAATGGAAAGGCAGCTGGAGAGAATAAAATAATACCAGAAATGGTGAAGGCAGGATACATGGTATTGAATTTTTGGAAATCTTCTAAACGGTATGGAGAGTAGAGTAGATATCAGCAGATTGGCGAAGAAACGTAATCATCCCTATATAAAAGAAATGGTACTCGACAAGCTGTGAAAACTACATGGCAATATACCCCATTAATGCCATTGCAAAGCTATACTCTAGAATCCTGGAGAGGTGCCTAAGGACTTCCATTGAAGAAGAACTGTTTGAGGAGTAGGCGGGTTTCAGACCAGGATGACAAACACAACATCTCATTCTCTCCCTATAACTAATAAGTGGATCAGCAGAGGGAATCTGCATACCAGACATTCTTGGTATGCACTCTGCGATGAGGCGCTAAGACAAGAGGTCTGTAAAGCACTAGAGAAGAAAGGGATCCTCCACAACTGATGAAGGTCATCAGGTCCAAGTTCCAGAAAGTGGAAGGAACGAAGAGGCTTAACGGGAAGACCTCTACCATGTTCGTCATAGAAAAAGTTATTAGACAAGGAGACAGTTTATCCCTATTGCGATTTGTAGCTTTTATAGACAAAGTGGCGAGGACATGCAAGAGATGAACAGAAACTTCGGTCGTCGGCAGTTCAACCTCAGACCGATCATGTGCCAGGCTGTAATATATGCAGATGATGTAGTCCTCATTGCAGACGGACATTGCAACGGACTGTACTTAAGTGGTCAAAAACTCTAAAGGAGAACAGCACGATGTTGGACAAAGTGAAGAGTGAACTTATGGTGGTGTCGACGACAGAAGAACAGGTGGATCACATCCACAACGAATATGATGATCAATTTCTCACCCAGGTTAGTGGATGAGTAACTTCACTATCACTATCTGAGGTGAACAGATTGGACAAGGTTACCAACACTTGCTATGCCCTGAGTTGGTGTGTGTTTGGAAAGGATGAAGTAAACCGGAAGACCAACATAAGGGTTTATAAAATGATTGTAACGGTCAGAACTTACCTATGGCAGTGAAAGCTGGACCTAGACTTGCCAGATGTCCCGTATTTGACAGGACGTCCCATTTTTCAGCCTCAAAATCAACCCGTATCCCGAATTTTTAATATGACAGTACGGGACAGAACATCGTCCCTTATTTCGGTTACGAGCGTGTTATTCTGCAAAGAATCCCGTCGTCTTATCGCCACCGTGACTAAACTAGTTAATGATTAAACTAATCAAACTTTAGTTAGTCGGTCGGCAGCCTTGCATGTACGAAGTCGCACGCGCGCTTTTTCGTTGATTCGTTTCGATTCGTATATCCTCGTTTTGTTGTAGTTTTGTGTTTTGTTACAGTGTACAATGTATAACTCGACCGCAGTCATAATGTCTGATGATGACAGCAGTGGCAGCGAATCAGTTACTTTTAAAAAACGTAAAGCCTTTACCAATACAAGCATAATTGGGAGACTAGTATTTTTGGATAAAAGCTTGTGAGAACAATGTGTTCAAAGTTTTCTGCACGCAATGACGTAAAACAGCATGACAAGGGTGTCGAACATCAAAATAGAGTCAAACAGATGAAAGCAAACCAATCTATTACGAAGTTCTTTGGATCCCAAGCGGGCACGTCATTATCGACGAAAGTTTCTGCAACGGAACTTACAAACGTATATCAGAACATAGTGCATGGACAATCTTACATTTCGTTAGACTGCACATCTAAACTGGCTCCTATCATATACCCAAGCTTCAAAATTGCTGGTGACATGAAATTAGGACGGACCGAAGCATCCAGCATAGCAAGTTCCATACTGGCCCCTCTAGCCATAGAACCAGCCATGAAGAGATTGGTTGATCAAGACATTTGTTATTCAATAGCTACAGATGCAGCAAACCACGCTAACATTAAAATGTATCCTTTAGTGGTAAGATACTTCACATTACAAGACGGCTTGAGAAACTATTTACTGGATTAATATGAAGACGCTAAAGAGGCCTTAAACGATGTATTTAGAAACATAAAAAACAAACTTTCCGAAAATGGCTTGAAATTGGAAAATATCTCCAGTTACTCCGCTGATAACGCCAATGTGAACTTGGCTCGTTTTAATTCAGTCTTCTCACGTTTGAAAAATGAGAATCCACGTATACTTGAAGCTAGATGTTCGGCACACATAGTTCATAATTGCGTAAAGTATGCCACTGGTCAAATAGACTTTGACATCGAAAGCTTGGTGACAAAAACGTCTCGTATTTTTCAAGTCACGCAAAGAGAACAGGTGAGCTAAAGGAGGTGTTTCAGTTCCTGGATATAGAATACTCGCCCTTGTTTCAAGACTACCATTGCCACAGAATCTGGTTCGGGTACCGAAAATATCAACGAAGATATGTTGATGCAGAAATATATTTGGCGTTTTACCACCATGTCCTGACAATTTTTCAAGAAGCTGTACTTCAACTTGAAGGTGCAAACACGCTAATATGCAGTGTACAGAATTATGGACTGTTTAAGGCAAAAACTGAACACTTCGAAACCTACCTAATACTGAAGCAGAAAAATATAAATCCATATTTCTCTACTGGTACAGAGGCGCAATCAAGTATCTTGAATCAAGATTTGACTTTAACGAAAACATTAATAGTTTTTATCTACAACTATTGAATTATCTATTCGTTATACATTTGATTTTTGACGGGTAATGATACGCATTACCCATGACTGACAAAGTGTTGAATAATGAAGCCATTATTCCACAGTTCTGACACGGCCTACTAATCAAAAAATAAAATATTAACAGGAATGACAGCTTTCTTATATTGAGGTTATGTCTGAAATGTCTATCAAGTTTATTTTTTTTTTCCTTTTTTTTTTGATTTTTTTTTTCAAAATTAAATAGTTGTATAGTATTCAACTTGCGTATAATATATACTCAGATTATAACACTCGCTCGCTTCGCTCGCTCGTGTTGCAACTTCATCTTCATGGGTAACAGCCGCCATTATACGCTTGTTGAATAATATACTATTACTTGTTGCGAAAAATTGACACTAAAGAATCCAATTCAGTACGAAGACTTGGTTAATATTGTGTCTGAACTAAATATAAATGTCGACCTAGATGCATTATACAGGGTGATTCAAAAAACCGCTGACTAAAGAATGTTCTGTGCTCAAATCAATTATATCTAAAGTAATAACGGAAAATGAGTGTAATGAAAATACTAAAGTCCTCGACACCTGGATACGCATTCTAAAGTCAACAACACATGAAATTGATGAAAACAATTTTTTTGTGAAACTACTTCAGTTTGTGTTTTCGATCCCAGTCTTCAATGCACTGGCTGAAAGAATCTTTTTCTTCCAAGAAAAATTGACCAAGAATCGAAACAGATTAAATACACAAAGTGTGAAGGCAGAATTACAAATAAAAACCAACTTTAATCTGACATGCAAAGACTGTAGGTAATTCTCAAAAGTAAGTAATTTGTTTATGCAAAAATTAATGTACCTTATATTACATAAGTTATGTACCTCAGGGGTACTACCACTGTACAGGGTGGGCAAATTTGGGTGTTATTATAGGCTCTTTCTATTATCTCAGAAACTATATATCGATAGCCGAGATACAGGAGCTGTCTGAAAATCGTAAATTTTGAAACACTCCCTGTATATCAAAAATGAAGAGAGCTATGAAAATTTGGTTTGCGCCATTGTAAGTTTCACAAAAAAGTAGCTCAGATTCGCGAAAGTCGCAACTTTCTATCTTTCATAATAACTGAGATACCCTGCAAACCCATCGAAATTAGGACACCCTGTACATTTAGTATCAAAACATAAATAAGTGGAGTTTTATTACGTAAACTGCATCTCCCGTATTTTAATCCTAAATCCCGCATTTTCTCTAGGTAAACCCCGTAAAACAAAAATAGAGCTGGCAACCCTAGCTGGACCGCAAATACAAGAGACATCAGTAGCGTTAGTATGGTCCAAATGAAGTGCCTCCAGAGGATAGCAGGAAAGATACGACGGAACAGAGTTCCCGCATTCAAGAAGAGGTTAATATGTAGCCGATCGACAGGATGATTGAGTATAGATTGCTGTCTTGGTTTGGCCATGTAACGGTAATGGTCCAACGAACAGGACAGGTGAGGAAACTACGGATACATGAAGGCCAGAACACAGACTAGACGACCCATAGGAACACCAAGAACAACATGGGAAGAGACACTTATGCAGATTGCAGCCAGTGGAGGGAAGACTATGTAGCAACTCAAGGGTCTTGCTAGGGAGAAGGAAATCTTTAGAAGATGAATCCAAGCCCACGATAGGGACAAAATGGAGGGAAAGAGAAAGAAGAAAACCAATAATTTTCTTCTAGCTTCTACATTCTTACCTGATCTTAAAAGTGCTGGATCCAAAATGTCAACTCGATTAGTCGCAGCTATAACTTTAATATCTGATGTCGAACTAAACCCATCCAACTGATTTAAAAGTTCCAACATAGTTCTTTGAACCTCTCTATCACCCGCCTTTTCAGAATCGAACCGCTTCGTACCGATCGCGTCCAATTCATCAATAAAAATGATCGCCGGACTTTTCTCCTTGGCTAATGCAAAGGCATCCCTCACCAATTTCGCCCCATCACCGATAAACATTTGCACCAATTGTGGTCCGGCCAATTTTAAAAATGTCGATTTCGTTTGAGCCGCGCAAGCTCTAGCTAACAATGTTTTTCCAGTTCCTGGAGGCCCATAGAGCAAAACACCTTTTGGTGGATGGATTCCTAAATTCAAGAATTTTTCTTTATGGGTCATCGGCAAAACGACGGCTTCGATTAACTCTTGAATCTGTTTATCTAAGCCTCCAATATCAGAATACTGTTCCGTTGGGCGCTCATCAACCTCCATCGCTTTAACGCGTGCATCATATTCAGCAGGAAGGGTTTCCAAGATCAGATAACTGTCTTTGTTAACACCGACTAGATCACCTGGTTTTAATTTTTCTTCATCAACCAAGCCGATTACTGGTAAAAAGTAGGTTTGACGCGTGGAAGTTTTAACAACGGCGCATTTTCCTTTTCGCTGTGCGTCCAGATCGACAACTGCACCATCTTCTTCTTCTTCTTGAGGATCGACATCCAAAAGCTCGATCACATTCGAAACTAAATAGGGTAAGGTTTTATTAACTTTGATTTTTTCTGTATTTTCCTTAATTTTTTCATTTTGCGCTTGGAGTTCGTGCGTTACCTGGTAATTAAGAATATTCATTATAAAAATTTAATATACAAGGTGTTGCGGTGATTCGGGGCATAAAATTAACCTCATATACTAGAGCAAAAATGATGACAATTCGTGAAAAAAAATTATTATAAAAGTCTTCAAATGGTATGGGCCATCAAAGTTCAGAAATTTTAACATATTTTTCTAAATATTTTCAATACCATTTATGGTAGAGCGTTGAAATTTGGTACAGGGTAAACAAATATCAAGCAAAATCATTGAACCAATTTTGACTTTGATCGGGCGGCGGCAACCATGCTATACAGGTGTCCCTAAAATTTGTTTGCTCAGAACTTTTTTGTTCTCTCGTAACCCTACATTTATTTTTGTACTTGTTAATAGAAAATTTATTTTAGAAACTTTTATCACTCTGAAAATTTCATCACTTCTGAAACTCCTATTAAAAAATAGAGTATAGCACTGTTTCCCAAAGTGTGGGTCGCGATCGGATATTAGCTGGACCATGAAACTGTTAGGAACTAATTTTACTACCAACCTTCCAATAAATACTAGTTCTAATAAAAAATTGGTTGGTAATAAAAAACAGCCGGGGAATCCCCTCTGTTCAAATCACTCACAATCTACACTAAAAAGAACTAGCTACCTAGCAGTTTTAACGTTTCGTTCTCTGATCCGAGTTTAGTTAAGTACTAAACTCGAGTTTTTCTTTTATAAACTCACGCTTATCGCGTGATATCTTTGTGCTTAGTTGTTGTGTTCGGCAATTCGTGGAGTGCTTCCTAGAATAAGACCTTATTGTCTCTAACCTCGATAACTGTGTTATATTATAATAATGGACAAGTCTCTTATCTAATTAGCCTGAGAATCACCAGAACATGTAAACCTCATACCATTGGCGAGAATTTAGTATTGCCATCGATTAAAGAAACTGTTGGAGTGATGTTTGGAGAAAATAAAGTAAAGGAAATCCAACGTATCCACTTTCCAACAATACCGTTACACGAAGAATTAAGGAGATGTCCTAATGGGCAGAGGATGAGTTAATTCGTAAAGTAGTCGGTAGTAAGTATTTTACGCTACAACTGAATGAGTCTACCGATGTGCAAGGCCTATCTCAGTTACTTGCTTTCGTGCATTACATGTATATGGCAAAATGACGCGCATGAAGACATCTTGTTCTGCAAACCAATTAGTCGTGGAACGGCCGATGAAATTCTTTGTTCAGTAAAGATTCAAGATATTGATTTTTTCCTACCAAGTAAACTGTGACTTCATTGCCTAATTCCACTAATCTTGTCAAATCTTGGATAGCCAACGTACTTCTGTATGTAAAAGAAGAAATTTATGAAGACTATACCCATCTCTTCGCACAGCTTTTGAAATAAACGTGTTTGTAAGGATCGTGTTTTGATATAGTTCACAATTTTTACAGAGGTATTTTATACTGTTTTTAAATCATCAGGCAATAATTTTGCAACCAGTGCTTCTCTATGCTGGCTGCAATGAGTCCACGAAGTATTCGGATTTCTTTCAAGAACCCTTGTGACCACACTGCTATTTTTGCCACACATAGCTCGAGCTTCGTCGGTACACACGGCAACACAGTTCTTCCAATCCAAGCCTTTTGTCTTTATACAGGGTGGTCGATTTAACGTGAGACAAGCGATTATCTTGAAAACGGTTCATTTTACATAAAAATGAACCAAATGAAAGTTGTTCTATGCGAAGGGGGAAACCATACGACGATAACATTTTTTGACCTTGACCATTTTTAAGGTTATATGAAGGTCACGACCAATTTTTTAAATGGCACCAACAAAAAAATAAAAAAATTTTACTGTGTGCTTTTGCCAATACAACCGCAAAACATCTTTTGAAAAAAACTGAAACTTCTTCAGAAACAATTAACTATCGTTTACAATCTAGCAAGAACAAACCTGCTTCGATTACTTTGGTTTAACTTTGGTGCTTAACTTTGGTGTTAACAACAATAGAAACTTGAACAAAAAACAGAAGTGATCAAAACAGACGAGACTACAAGCTCCTTATGATTAAAATTATTTTCTTTTGTCGGTGCACCTCACAGCAAGCTTCAAAGTGTATGAAAGAAAACACGCATTAGCGTTATTCACCATTGCTGAAATGAAAGAGCGCCAAAATGGGGAAGGCGCCTACAGAAATATTGGCAAAGGGTAGACCTTCCAAATAAAAAAAACCTTATTCAAATTAAGCAATACGTCCAAAAGTTATTGCAGTTAAGGCAAAGTGTTTAAACTAAGTAATTAAATCATGGATACTCTAAGTCTGGCAGAAAAAGTCGAAATGATTTTTATGTATGGAGAAAGTGGCAGAAAAGTTGCCGATAGTATAGCTTTGTATCGAGAACGTTTCGCTGATCGAAATACGCCTTCGAGAAGTACCTTTTAGAGAGTTGTGAATGATTTCACTAACACTGGAAATGTGGAATCAAGAAAGAGAACTCGGCGAGTAACTGTAACTACGGAAGAAAAGGAAATTGCGGTATTAGCTAGCGTCGAGGTAAATCCTCAAGTTAGCACTCGACGACTTGCAATTGACGCCGGAATATCGAAGACCAGCATTTTAAGAATATTAGAGCGCAATAAGTATCACCCATACCACATTTCATTGCATCAACAGCTTTATGGAGGTGATTTTGAAAATCGATTAACATTTTGTCAATGGGCACAAGAACGAATGCGGTTGGACGTCAATTTCTTTGGTAACGTGCTATTCTCGGATGAGTCTACTTTTACAAACAAAGGGTAAGTCAATAGACATAACATGCACTATTGGAGCGTTGAAAATTCGAGATGGTTGCGTGAAGTAGAACATCCACGACCTTGGTCGGTTAATGTTTGGTGTGACATAATTGGTGATAAACTGATCGGTCCATACTTTATTGATGGTATGCTGAATGGGGAGAAGTACCGACATTTTTTAGATAACGTCTTACCAACGTTACTTGTAGATTTGAGCAGGGAAGAAAGACAAAATATGTGGCTGCAAAATGATGGGTGTCCAGCACATTTTTCACATGAAACTTTAGATCGGGATTATGCTGGGCGATGGATTGGAAGGGGAGCTCCAATTTCCTGGCCTGCCAGATCACCTGATTTAACGCCTCTTCCTTTTTTTTTGGGCGACCTTAAGGATAATTTTTTCGCGAAGTACCGACTACGCCAGAAAACATGAAGCGAATAAGAAATGCATGCAGAAATAATAGCCAAGAAAACCTTTTAAGATGTAAAGAAAGTTTTAGTAGAAGGGTTAATAAATGTATTGAAGTGGGTGGGGAAATATTTGAACATTTATTATAAATTTTATACTTGTTGTTGATTAATAGTATAGTTTAATCATTTTTTATAAATAAACAATATTTAAAACTATTTGAATAAAAAAATTATTTAGATTTTGTCTACAAAAGATGTTTCGCCGTCATACTGGCAAAACCACAGTAATTTTTTTTTTAATTATTTTACTTTTATCCATAGATTCAGATTTTGCAATCATAAACATAGGGTGCCATCTAAAAAATTGGTCGTGACCTTCATATGTCCTTGAAAATAAGGTCAAGATCAAAAAATGATATCGTCGTATGGTTTTCCCCTTCGCACAGAACAACTTTCGTTTTACATAAAAATGAACCGTTTTCAAGATAATCGCTTGTCTCACGTTAAATGGACCACCATGTATAAAGACAAAAGGCTTGGTTTGGAAGACCTGTGTTGGCGTGTGCACCGACGGAGCTCGAGCTATGTGTGGCAAAAATAGCAGTGTTGTCACAAGGGTTATTGGAAGAACTGTGTTGGCGTGTGCACCGATGGAGCTCGAGGTATATGTGGTAAAAATTGCAGTGTGGTCACAAGGGTTCTTGAAAGAAATCCCAATGCTTCGTGGACTCACTGCAGCCAGGATAGAGAAGCACTGGTTGCAAAATCATTGCCTGATGATTTAAAAACAGTATAAAATACCTCTGCGAAAATTATGAACTATATCAAAACACGATCCTTACAAACACGTTTATTTCAAAAGCTGTGCAAAGAGATGGGTAGGCTTCATAAATCTCTTCTTTTGCATACAGAGGTACATTGGCTATCCAGAGGGAAAGTTTTGCCAAGATTAGTGGAATTACGCAATGAAGTCACAGTTTACTTGGTAGGAAAAAATCAATATCTTGAATCTTTACTGAACAAAGAATTTATTCACAAGCTAAGATACTTGCCGGATATTTTTGAAAGTTAAATGAACTTAATTTGTATCTGCAAGGATCAGAGGGATCCGACATTTTTGCAGTTCACAATAAAATTCGAGCGTTCATGAAAAAGCATGTCTTGTGGAAGAGATGCATCAAGGAAGGCAAATATGATTGTTTTGAAACGTTTCTGGGTCTGCCATTTCACTCATTTAATGGAGTTGAAAAATAACTTTGACGTCTATTTTGGGGAAGAAACAATGAGCTGGATTTGTAAATGCGTTTCAAGACAACTTGCCAACTGGATTGTCACTAAAAGCAAGTGAAGAACTTATTGACTTAGCAGAAGACACATCGCTAAACACCACCTTTAATTGTATGCAATTAACGAAATTTTGGCTTTCACTTGCTTGATACCCATCCTTGCTTATTTGATGAAGCCATAAAAGGCCTCCTTCCTTTCACTACCTCCTATTGATGTGAAGTAGGATTTTCAGTCATAGTTCACATTAAAGCTAAGTGCCGAAATAAATTGGATGTGACAAATTCATTGCAATTAAAAGTAAAATCAAAATTGATGCTAAAGCGGTAATGGCAAGAAATAGGAAACAAATACATCGTTCTCATTGAATTATCACATCTTATATTTAGTAAATAAAAATTTCATTAATCTGGATGTCTTTTTTTTATTGAACAGATCTTAGCACAGACAGTTACGATATTATTTTATTATCGAGAAGATGCTGTGTAGTAGCAATAAACAATGCTGCTTCTTTATTTCATATTAGGTAAGGGTACATTGGTCAGTTTTTACAGTAAGCCCACCTTTATCCCATATAAATGTGGTCATTGTGTTAGGTGTGACATAATTGGTGATAAATTGATCGGTCCATACTTTATTGATGGTATTCTGAATGGGGAGAAGTACCAACATTTTTTAGATAACGTCTTACCAACGTTACTTGTAGATTTGAGCAGGGAAGAAAGACAAAATATGTGGCTGCAAAATGATGGGTGTCCAGCACATTTTTCACATGAAGCTTTAGATCGGGATTATGCTGGACGATGGATTGGAAGGGGAGCTCCAATTTCCTGGCCTGCCAGATCACCTGATTTAACGCCTCTTAATTTTTTTTTTGGGCGACCTTAAGGATAATTTTTTCGCGAAGTACCGACTACGCCAAAAAACATGAAGCAAATAAGAAATGCATGCAGAAATAGTAGCCAAGAAAACCTTTTAAGATGTAAAGAAAGTTTTAGTAGAAGGGTTAATAAATGTATTGAAGTGGGTGGGGAAATATTTGAACATTTATTATAAATTTTATACTTGAAGATGCTGTGTAGTAGCAATAAACAATGCTGCTTCTTTATTTCATATTAGGCAAGGGTACATTGGTCAGTTTTTACAGTAAGCCCACCTTTATCCCATATAAATGTGGTCATTGTGTTAGGTGAGTCCCAAACATTGAAAATTTTTTATGATGAGTCGTGGTCCAAACAACTTTGGGGTATGCACAGTTAAGATTTTACTTTATATTTTATTACTTACTCTCATAACTTCGCTCTTCATAATTTTAATCTCGTTGTCTAATAACCTTGTCCGGCTTATAATTTCGTCGGTAGGCATTCGAAGTACTTCTTCACCGAGCGATTCTTCGCCATCGTCCCAAATGGACTTATCTTCCAACGTTGACATCTTCATTCGTGCAGTAGTTCCTAATTCGCTTTCTTATTTCAGTTTAGAAATCACAAAGAATACAAATGGGATGACAAGAAGTTAATTGCAATAAAACCCTCACGAAACGGTTTTGTCTTGTGTCGGCTGTCAAAAAAACGCGAATCACAACGAAATGTCAAAATAAGCAAGTCATTGGTGCCTAGTACCAACCGGTAGTAATTAAATAATTTCTTTATGGATTGATATACATATAAAATGTTGTTTAATAGTTTATTTAAGCCGTATGTCTTTGGAATTATTTTATAATCGTAAATTAATATCTAAAATATATAAATACTTAATACTAATTTAAATTGTTTATGTAAATACCATGAATTATTTATGGTATAGGTAAGCAACAGTAAAAATATAAATTTAGTTATATATTTACTATATTTAATTTAATTTTAATTTTAAATTGTTAATATTTTAGTTATTTTTATATTTAAAGGTTTTGTTTACGTCCTAGACGAACTTCACATCGAAAATTTTTATATTTGACAACCAGTTCATTTCTGACTGTCAATTAATCAGTTTCTTTCCTGTAATTCAACAAGAAAACAGGTTCAAAAAAGGGGATCTTTTGATCATTACAATGGCTTTAGCTACAATTTTACGTAACGCAGCCAGACCATTAGGTATTATAATAAAACCCATGAAATAACCTTAAAAATAACTGTTTTTGTTACATAACCTTTTTACCGGAAAATAATTTTTTTTTCAGTTGCTAATTCGTTCAAATTTTCGCCTGTAATACGTAATGCACCGTTTATTCGACATTCAGCGAACGTTTCAATGTTTCAAAACCAAGGTACATATTTAGGACTGACTGGTTTAAATCAAATTCAGCCAAAAATTCAACAAACCCAGGTACGACAAGCTCATATGGATCATGGTTTATTATGGACTGTTGAAAGGGCTTGGGCGGTAGGTCTTCTTGCTATTGTTCCATTAACTATTATAACGCAAAGTACCATTATGGATGATATATTTGCTATTACTACGATTATTCATAATCATTGGTAATATTATTATATCAAATCTCTTGGAAGTGGTAAAAAATTAAAAAGATTGTTTTTAAAGGGGTCTTGAAGCGATAGTAATAGATTATGTCCGACCTGTAATATTCGGTGAAACCATTCCAAAAATTGCATTGATGATTTGTTACGCTTTCTCTGCCATTATTTTGGGTGGATTACTTTATTTCAATCATAATGATATTGGAATTGGAAAGGCTATTGCTAATTTTTGGAATATAAGATCATTGCCACCTTCCTCCGGGGGAGCCCAAGAAAAAAGGTCAGATAGCACTGAAAGTAATAAATGTTGAAAATTTTTGAAAAAAAAAGCTAATACAATTGAAAAGTAATTGTGATGTTTATTAGATAAAATTTTGAATTGTTTGTTTTAATTATTATCTTTTTTTTAGATAAATTTATAATCTTGAGGCCATGGATTATTCTTCTTAACTTAATTCTTTAAAGTATTGTGAAACAGGATTAAATAACTTTTCAGGTCTATTTTCATCTGGAGATATGTAAATTATTTAATTTTATTTAAAATTATTTTTGTTTCTATTGAATGAGTGTTAATAAAAGATTCTAAAAATATTTCTTAGTGGTGTTTATATTACGAATGGCAATAAAAAACCGGCCTTGATATTGCTTGTGGCTGATCAGCTCATTTCATTGCACATCCAGTTCTGGCCGAATTATCCAGCAAATTCGACCGGATCGAATTGCAAAGAGGAAAAAAAATTTTGTTACTGATTTTTCAAACTTATCTCAGCATAAATAATGCGTTGGTATGTTGAAACCACTAAATCGCACGAACTTTATATTCTAACTATAGAAGTTAACTAATTATTCCCATTTTTATGTAAAAATTATCCTTTTCCTAAATTAAAAATTTTTCAAATTCAATTTACAATATGTAACTATGGAAACCAATAAAATAAAATAAGAGTTACAACTTATGTTAGTGAAAAATATACGGACAAATCAAATTAAAATATGGCTAATTGAATACTTCCTCTGTCTGATAATAGTTGCTACATTTCAGTTTAATGTAAAAATTATTATAAATATGAAATGCACAAGCGATTTATCTAGATACATAAGATAGACAATATAACAATCAAAGTGTGCCATGACCAAAACCGACTTATGTAGCTATTGCACTTGTTTTGTGATAATTAGTTTCCTTATGTCAAATTTGAACGATTTAACCGCTATACATACATTCATTCAAAATGGACAAAAATATTTCGGAATACATTTAAACAGGTGGAAAAAAGTGTAAAAAGTTTAATAACGACCAACGTAAGCAAATCTTACATTATTTATTACAAAATGTCAGTCAAGGAAAACTTAAACGAGACGCGATAAATGCCGCTGCACGCAAGTTTTGCAGTCGTGCAACGATCTCCAAATTGTGGAAACGAGCTAAAGGTTGTCAAAATAACAATTTAGTCATTAATGTTGATTCCCTTAAAAAAAGACGTGGACGGAAAGTCAAAGATTATAGCCAGCAAATTGCAAACATTTCTTCTCTTCCTTTGTATAAACGAACTACATTAAGGTTATTAGCTTACGCATGTAAGGTGTCATAAAGTACATTGCATGACAGATTAAAGAAAGGAAAGAAAATAAAAAGAATCACTAGTTTTGTTAAACCATTGTTAACTAAAGAAAATAAAAAGCGACGAATTGAATTTTGTTTAAAGTTTTTATTACCGTCAGGTTATTTCGAAGATTTGCTGAATTATATACATATTGACGAAAAATGGTTCTATATAACCAAAACTAAAAGAAGCTTTTATATAACTCCCGAGGAAAAACAGCCTTATAGACCTTGTAAGAGTAAAAGATTTATTACAAAGGTAATGTTTATGGCGGCAGTTGCTCGTCCACGTTGGTATTTTCATAGAAAAGCGTATTTTGATGGAAAGTTAGGAATTTGGCCATTTGCAAATCCTCATTCAAACAAATTTCCTCCCAATTCGGCACACATTTGAAGACGAGTTCTAAATTCTTTATAAGAAGTACGAATTTCCGCCATTGGTAGAGATTCTATCGCTTTAATTATTCTTAGTTTTAATAGTTCTGCATCATCTTGTAATGGTTCACTGTAAACAATTTGTTTCAATCGTCACCAAAAATAAAAATCCATAATTGTAAGATCGGACTACATGCTGGCCATCAAATAGGACCATTTCGTTCAATCCATTTTTGACGAAAATGTAAATTTAACCATTTGGCACAATGTGTGAATGGTAAGCTGGGCAACTGTCTTGCTGAAAGTACATTGACCGTATAAAATTTAAAGGTAATTGGATTTACATCGCTCCAATAACGACAATGCTGGGAAGAAACAATGTCATTTGTTGAAAAGCTATCTGAAAAGCAGCGTCTTCCTCATTTAGTCTCTTTGTCTACAAAATTTTTTTCATAAGTTTGCGAGCCCTAACATGAGATTTTCTTGTGTCCAGATATTTTAGCTGGAATTTTTGTATAACCACACGAAAACATGATTCACTAGTACCATAGCACAGTACTAAATAAATTCTCTCTTTCACGGTTAACATCGCATGAAAAGACTTAATCTCACCAACATAAGTTGTAACTTTTATGTTTCTATGGTTACATATCATAAATTGAACTTGAAAAATTTTTAATTTAGGAAAAAAATAAATTTTACATAAAAATGTACATTTATTTTCTTCGGTGCAGCAACACTGAATCGGATTGCGATCGTGTGGATCTGTTATGAGCTGACAAAAAGAAATTGAAATTGTTAAACAAATATCTGGCGGTTTGATAATGAAGAATTTTATACAAATTTAATAATACACGAAAGGATCGTCGGTTCTCATACGTTTTTAATTATTACGATAGGGAGAGATAGTAGCGATCCAGATCAAATATGAAACGTACACAATTGTTCTGTAATCTTTGCAACTTTTTACACAGTGTAATCGATAAATCGGTGCAGACTGTATCAGCATAATCTACATGAGGAAATCTTCCACATGGACGGAAAGGATGATGTTTCAATGAAAAAGTTATAGATATGAGTTAACGGAGACATAATAATATGAAGAATCGGTAAAATCTGTTTCAAGCTAATACCTTCTGCACCGGCACTGGTAGAACTAGAATAAGTAACTGCCTTGTACACCTCGTCCCCATCAATCACAGTGAGCGAAAAGCTAGAATAAGATTAGATGCCTCAATAGTTTGAATTAAGGTGATTTTGGAAGCAGTATTAAGAGTTACTGGGGGTTTAGCGAAATGGCTCGCTAAAGAATTTCCGTCCACAACACCTTGTGTAGGAGCAGAATCAATGACACCAGAAGACTTTAAAGTTTTCCAGAACGTCTTATGTAAGGAGTAGTCCCAGTCAATTTCTGGTAAAAATGTGCTCTCTTCGCATTTTTACATCTATGATTACAGCGAGTACGCAGTACACGATACCTTTCATAGTTAATATTCGATGAATTGCGTTTAAGAAGCATTTTAGATCTGTTTCGTTCACGCATAAGGTCTCTAATCTCATCATTTAGCCAAGGGGCACGGAAATAGAACACACCCAGTAGTAACCGATCACAATGACACTTAACCTCAATCAATAAGAATTCCATTTCGTTTTGAAATCCAACAGTTGATTCCACCAATGTAGTTTGAAAATGATTCCTGATAAAAATCCCAACCCCACCACCCCGGGAATATTCACGATCATTTCTTAGTAAATAATAACCTGGTAAGACAAACATGGAAGAGGGCAATGAAGGCCTAAACCAAGTTTCACTAACCAAGATTACATCAAATATGTTTGACTCAAAAGTATATAGGGTGTCCGGTATCTTCCGCATCAGAACATTATATGGTTGTAGGATACTTTATTCTGAAGCGATCTTTCTACTAATTTTTTTTCGAAATGTTTTTCGACGTCGGCGCCGGGCCGCCGCGCCGATCAAAACACGTTTCTCACGTGTACTTACCAATAGATTCGACACGGGAAGAGAAATAAACTTTTTCGGTGAATCAAAGTCGTCCGCTATTGGACAATAGCGGATGACTTTAAACAGCTCCCGTGCGGTTATCATAAACATGTCGAAAAAAATTTATTACAAAGATCGCTTTAGAATAATGTATCCTACAACCGTATAATGCTCTGATGCGGAAGATACCGGACAGCCTGTATAAGAACTCATCAAAATGAGCATAAAGACTCTGGGCATTAATATGACATACAGAAATATGGCTCGCAAATCCACAAAAAAGATTAGTCGGAGGTATTCCCGTGTAAGAATCCGCCTCATCCAAAACTATCAAAAATGAGAATTGATACCACATGAATGATAGTAAGAAAAACATAAAGAAAATAAGTAGTATGAAGAGATTGCTCCCAACAAAATATTACAAATCTTAACTACAATACTGATGCTGGAAATGGTTAACCCTTTATTATTAAGTGGAAACGAAAAATATTATTATTAAACGAATAAAACAATAGTTACGCACTCGAGAAAAAATGAAAAATAGGTAATTGCTGGTAATAAACAAAAAAAAGAAAAAAATGAAGGGTTACGCAAATATCTCAATAGTAACGTTTAGCGATCAGCCTTCTGGTTCCTTGTACCAATCCTACGGGATGACTGGAGACGCGGACAATCCTCAAGATCAGCCTTCCCCCGAACTACTTCCTTCTTCCCTTTAGATATAGCAATATAAACACGACTATCCAATGTCCAAGTATTCTGTGTACCAACAATAGCTCTAGATTGATTGTATAAATTAAGTCGCCGTGTTGTTAGGGACTCTGAAATTAAAAAAAAAATGTTGCCCTTTGTTGATCCAAATCAACTGCCTCACATTATAGGAAAGAAGCTTGATTATTATAGGTCGTGGATCCAGCATACAGCTTTACACTCAAAATCCTTCGCTTCAAGATTACCATTAAAAACTGACTTACCAATGCATCCGTATCCTCACCAGCTGCCTCAGGAATACCGTGAATGAGGAGGCAATTTCTTCTGGAGTACGCCTCCAAGTCATCAACACGTTCGTCAAGATTAGATAACATGGCTTTTACCTCATTCATGCAATCTGCAGTGTATTGACTAAAATCATTAAAGTCTTGCTGCAGCTTGTCGAGCGTACTCTCTGAAGTTCCACCGGCGTGTAACGCAGCCTGAAGACGGGCGTCAAATGCATTCCGATTGATTTTACACCTCCGACTCCGACTTCGGCTCCGATAATTTTGAATCGGAGTTATAACGAAGATGGAAATGTAGCAGTGTATAAAATTCGACGTGTCTCGCACGCTAGCGGGGTTCCCCGATGCAAGCAAATGCTTTATAGGCAGGTAGAACCTTCATTACCAATAAAACTAAATTAACGAAATAAAAAAAAATATATATTTTTTTTTACTAAAAAAAATGCTTTAACGTAAAGTAATTTTGATTATGTTATAAACTCTTTGGCAGCACTGTGCGTCTACGTTAACGTTTGTTTGTTATTTCGTTTTCTTTTTCGGTCGATTTCGGGGAATCCCGGTCGCGTGTATTGTTTAGTTGTATTTTGCTTTTTCATTTGTGTGTTAGTCTAAGCTCGTCGCGCATCGACCCTTTAAAGATTCTAAATAATAACTTGTGAGTTAAGTATTGTTGATGTGATAGTTTTTTATAGACTGAATAATGAAGCCTAAAACGAGTGTTGTATGGAACTACTTCAATGAAGTAGACGCAAATTCGGCAATGTGTAAGATATGTAAGAAAACCTATTCAAGAAAAGGTGGTACAACTACTTCGTTAAAAGGTCATTTAAAGTCGTTGCATATTACTGAATACATTAGAATGCATTAAGATTGAAACTGAAAAAAAGCAGCCCTCGATTGCATCCCCACTTCAAGAAGCTAAAAAACAAATGACTCTCCTAGACGCTTTGATGAAAAATCAAAAATCCTTTCATTCAATTTTGTAGAAGGTGTCGGATTTCGACGACAGTTGCAATTCATCGTGCCGAATTATCAGTTAAGGGGAAGACAGTTTTTTACGTCATTTATTTGTGATGAGTGGTATCCTAAGCTGGCCAGTAAAGTAGTGGATTTGCTGAAAACTTTTACAAAAATTTCATTTACCACCGATGTTTGGACTGAACCCAGTTCCAACGTTTCCTTATTGAGTTTGACAGCGCATGGTATAACTGAAGATTTTAAGAGAATAAAACTGGTTTTGAAATGCCACCCTTTTGATGGCCGACATACAGGAGATGTAATTCAGAAAAAATTTAATAAGAAGCCTCAGAAATAGCAAATAACGTCTGACAAAATCCATTGTTTCATTCGTGATTGTGGGTCAAATATAATACGTGCAATGAGGCTAGCTGATATCCCTGATGTCAGTTGTACCGTACATTAATTACAACTTTGTGTGAAAACTATGTTAGATTCTGATGAAGAAATCAAAATTTGATAGCGAAATGCAAAAAAAATTGTACGCATTTTAATCATTCTCAAATTGCCCAAACGGAACTAAACAGAACAAACAGAACAACTCGACCAAACTGCTTTAGGCGTTGTACAGGAGTATAGTACGCGGTAAAAAGCTTACATAATTTAATTTAATTGAGAATTAAATTTCATATTCTTTTACTTTTATTTACGGGTAGAATAGCACTTTCTACATGCTGGAACGAATGATTAAAATAAAGGGCACAACGAACCCTTGGTACACATCCTGGTAAACATAGTATCCCACAAATATCTTCTGCAGAATGGCTGTATCTCAACAAAAAGTGTCTATTCTTCAACCATTTGAAGAGGTTACCAGAAACATGAGTGATAGTAATACTGGCATTTCATCGGTAATTCCACTTATACACATTCTAAAACATACATTGAAACTGGAAGACTGTGAACCAGATACCTCTACAACATTTAAGTCCGCAATAAAATGTACCATCGAACAATTGAATTTAAGATTTGAAGACCTTTCCTTTAATAACTTCTTTGCAATAGCAACATATTTAGATCCTCGTTCCAAACCAAAATTTTTTATAAAGTGACTAAAAAAAATATTGAGTCTGAATTGATGAGTTTGTTAGACAGCATGGATAACTCTGCAGCAAATCAAGCGCGAGACAACAATGCTGATGCTCCTGCATAGAAACGAGCAAGGTTCGAATCGCCATCAGCGGATGTACCTAACAATAATGTTCACTCAATTTTATCAAATATATTGATGAGTAGCGATGATGATGATGATAACACCGCAAAGGATAGCCAATCAGTTGACAAATTCATCATATGGAAGACCTTACTTAATGAGTACAACAAAGAAAAACGTATTCCTGTCAGTGACGATCCCTTGTTATGGTGGAGAGTAAATACAAAATTTCAAACATTGCGAGTATGTGTGTAATATCTAATTAATATTTTAAGTATTGATTAAAGACTCACCTCCGTAACATCCCTAGAACATACCCTTCTGTTCTATATTAACGCCCATTAAAACCTTGGGCTGGTTTTCAGACCCCTGAATGAACTGTAAATTGTGGGGATCCACAAAGGGTTCGCTGAGGCCTAAGTGCTGTGAAGGAATTCACCCCCACATGAAATTACATACATACATAAATATACAGTGTGTCCCAAGATAGATGTTACAAGAGGTATAATGATTTAAAATTTTTTTAATTTTATTTTAAGGCTGAGGAATTAAGCCCTGCTTAGTGTGGAGAGAATTATAAGTATATTTTCATATTTTGTAAATCACCTCGGCGTTGATACTGAAGCGAAAACTATTTTGAGTTCTGGTAAAGTAAGCTTTTTGTTCATGATACAGCAAAATATCATTAAGAAAAGTTGTTCAGAATGAAAAATTATACAATTATGCAAAATTTCAGAAAGATCTACCTACATTGATTAAACGACCATATTATAGATTAGATCAGAGTGAAGAAAAAAAAAAGCAATGAAAAATGCCATGAAAAAAAATGACTTAAGTAGTCGCAAATATTCACAAATAAATTGTATTTTCCCTCAGTTTTAGTTCAAATTTCAAATATTATACAATATTTATGTTATTTAAACTAAAATGTGATGGTTCAACCAAAGTAGATAGATCCTTCTGAAATATTGTATAAGACCATAATTTCTCATTTTGAAAAACTTTTCTTAATAAAATTTTTCCGTATCATGATCAAAAAGATTACTTTACCTAAACTAAAAATAGTTTTCGATTCATTGTCAAGGCCGCCTTTGTTTTCAAAATATGAAAATATTCTTAAAATTCTCTTCACACCAAGCAGGGCTTAATTCCTTAGCCTCAAAATAAATTTCAAAATTTTTTCAGTCATTATACCTCTTGTAACATCTATCCTGGGACACACTGTACAATCTCAAAAGAAAAGAGTTTGTGATTAAAAAAATAAAAGTTAATTTAAAAAACCATTTATTAAATTAAATCAACATCTAACATAATTTTTCCTAAAGAACCATTTGAAAAGTGTTCTAACATGATTTTTGCAGCTGTGTTTAAGTCCGGTTTATAGACATAACTACCAGTTGCAACATCTTTACATTTTATTATTTTTTGTTTTGCTAGTGCTATTTGTGCTAAAATGGTTAGTATATCATCAGACTTTTCGGTTAAATTAAAAGTTTTTAAATAATTAAAATTTTCATGTTTGTTAAGCCAATACAACAAATAATCTGCGATTATACTTTCGCCAATTAGATGGTTTTGAGTTAAATTACAAAGAGCCAACTTTAAACCTATTTCTGTATTTGGTACGTTTGGTGTTAATATTCCCGGAGTATCTAGTGTGTAAATCAAAGGATTTTCAGATATTTTAATTCGAGTTAAAACACTTTTAGTGATCCCAGGATTAGCTCCAACTGGTGAAGCTTTACTTTTGTGTAAATACCGATTTCTTAAAGCATTTATTAATGAAGATTTACCCACATTTGGCACCCCGATTATCATTACACAAAATTCATTCAAATTATTCCTATTAAATCTATCAGATTTTGAGATTAAGTCACATGTCATTGGTAACAATTTCTGTATTCCTTTACAGTGTTGGTTCTTGCAGTTTGTTAACACAATTTCTTGGTTTTTATCTTTAAAGTAATTCTTAATGTTAATTATGTGCTTGCTATCAATTAAATCCACTTTATTTAACACTAATATGTGAGGCTTAACACCGAATATTATCGTTTTAAAATCATTATTTCGTCCAGATATTGGAATTCTTGCATCGTGCACTTCTAATACACAATCCACAGATTTTAATTTTTGTTGCATTTGCTTTAAACCTCTTCCCATATGACCAGGAAACCATCGCAATACTTCTTGATCTATTACTCTAAAAGTACTTCTAAACGTTTCGGATACTAATTTTTGTACCATTTTTCTGATATTTAGTGATTGACAATAAAAAGTTAGGTTATGTGAGGTTATGTTCATATCGTTCATATGTCATTCGAATGTTTGATAATCTTTTCTAAAATTTAATTTCAACCCTCGTAATTTAAATACTTATTGGTAAATATCTGAAAATTATAAGTATGATAATTTTTATTTAAATTTTTTTCAATACGTTAAGCAATCAACGAAATTACTTAATAATTATAAAATTTACAACCAAAATATTCGATTTTGACAAACGTATACAAACCAGTTTCTAAAAACGTATTTGCAAAAATGTGTTAGGTATAAAATAGTTATTTTTGATACAAGATAGCGAAATGACACTTCTCGAACGATTTTTTTCTCGAATGCAAAAGAATTTCACTGTCGTGTATTAAACAATATTTTTTCGAAAACTGAGTATTCTAAAGTTTTAAATTAATAAAAAGACCAAATTCTGTATAATAACATTTAGAATTCATTTAATGTGACATACATATGTATACATATGTATGTATGTCAAAAACTTAACGTCACATCGATTTAACCTCACATATTGAACAAAAATGTACTATTATAAATTTGCATTTAAACATGAAATGAAATGATAAAACAATTAAATGTTGATTGTTTTGTGTTTATAATTTGTTCATAACAATAAATTAACAATTAATAGTATCAAATTCTTTGATTGACTTGTCGTAGCTGAACGTAAAAGTCTTTTTGTAATTCGCTACGGTAATGGAAGCTATAACAGTACTCAAACGGGTGCTGTAATGAGACTCCTTACAGCATCCGATGCTGTAATGAGATTTTAGTAACATTTTATGGAACCAGTTCAAGTTGGTAACATTGGGTCATTAATTTTTCTAGTTGTCAATGTGACAATTTTTGTCTATGGATGTTTAAACACGTTCTTAGCATCGAATACAAGGTCCACAATGATGAGGACATTGACTCTGAGCAATTTCTCTTATTTTGGGAGGTGTACATCAAACATTTTTTTCAGGTGAATATATTTTGTGTTTTGACAGTTTCTAATTGTCAATTCAAAGTTTCTATTTTCAAGTGTTCCGGTGTTACCAACTGCTACATACCTATTTCCCTACATTGCCAAAATTTACTTTATTTTTGTTAAAAAAAAGTATAAAAACGCGAATTACAAAAAATAGCATAAAAAACACGTTTCATAAGACTTAAAGCACTCATTCATTAAAAAACTCGTGGCTTCGCCACTCGTTTTTCAACTTGAATTCGTGCATTTCAAACGTGTCTTACGAAACTTGTTTTTTAATACACTATTTTGTAATTCGGTACGGTAATGGAAGCTATAACAGTACTCAAACGGGTGCTGTAATGAGACTCCTTACAGCATCCGATGTTGTAATGAGATTTTAGTAACATTTTATATAACCAGATTAAGTTGGTGACATTGGGTCATTAATTTTTCTAGTTGTCAATGTGACAATTTTTGTCTATGGATGTTTAAACACGTTCTTAGCATCGAATACAAGGTCCACAATGATGAGGACATTGACTCTGAGCAATTTCTCTTATTTTGGGAGGTGTACATCAAACATTTTTTTCAGGTGAATATACTTTGGATTTTGACAGTTTCTAATTGTCAATTCAAAGTTTCTATTTTCAAGTGTTCCGGTGTTATCAACTGCTACATACCTATTTCCCAACATTGCCAAAATTTACTTTATTTTTTTTTTTAAAAGTATAAAAACGCGAATTACAAAAAATAGCATAAAAAAACACGTTTCATAAGACTTAAAGCACTCAATCATTAAAAAACTCGTGGCTTCGCCACTCGTTTTTCAACTTGAATTCGTGCATTTCAAGCGTGTCTTACGAAACTTGTGTTTTAATATACTATTACGTCCTGTTGACAAAAAACTATCGTTTGGACGGTCGCTAAGTACTACGCAAAAATCAACTTTTAATAGCAGTTTTCGAAAAATTAATATTAATATCGTTAATTATTATAAATGGAATATTTGTTTAGTTTTTACTAGTGTGGAAAGGTAATAAATGACAATACATATAATAAGTTAGCAAAGATTTCAATAAAATTGTGTTATATTTTTCTATGGTTGTAGGGAGTACTCCGCACATTTTTGCATACAAAAAATTTGCTAAAAGAAAATATTCAGTGTTTATAAACTGTTAAGAAAATATCGTTATTTATTAAAATTACTACTATAATTACTAAAACATTATTAATTTTTGTACTATCACCCCAGCCTTATTTGCTACATGGCGTAAAAGACAGAAAACAAATCCCCCGCACGGTCGCTTTGCCGAGTACGGCCGAAGAATCGGAGACTGGAGGGGCGTACTCATTTTCTCTCGAACCTGTGCTCTAGCCTTGTGGTCTCTTCGGTCTCTTCAACACTGAAGTGCCGGGCGCCCGACACCAGCTTAATATTGAGCGCGCCTTGGATTCGAACAAAAATAGTGAAATATATTCATTAAAATAAAATAATTGAACTTTAATAAGTGAAAAAAAATGTTTCTTAATTTTAAAATACGTTTCTGTACTGTATATCTTCGTAAAGTTAAAGAATTTAGTTAAAATTCGATGTAAAAATCATCTCTTAATTTCCATTAGTAATATTTTTTTCTAATCTCATTTAATTATTATTTAATTATTAATTTGACCGTTTAATATTATAGAAAGTCTCAATAATTTCAAGCCATTTACGACCATTAATGCGTTTACGCACCATTTCTTCACATTTTTTTCGTTTGTTGATATGTTTTTTTGTAATAAGTCTTGAAATTTTACAATAATTTCACACCTTCATCGTAAATGGGTAAACAATAAACTTTTTATTTTTTGTACACTTTAGTAATGTTAAAAAATTTATTACCTTATTCACATAAGGTAATATAAAATTTCTGTGGAAACTACCTTAATAAACCTTAATAAAGACAACCTTAATAAAATTAATAGTAACCATCAATATTTTTTTTTTTTGCAATTGAATCCTGGATATAACGGCGGCTCTACTATGAGACGTAAACAATAGAGTTGACTTCCGTAGAAATACCCTGAAGGGTGGCCCGGGAGAAGAGAGGGGGGGTTTTTAGTGGTTAGCAGGGGCTAATTAATTGTAGTCCCACACTCCCGGCCGAAATACGATTTTTCCGACCCACGAACTATAGGGCCATCAGTAGGCTGGGGTGCGTAAGGCATTTTCCCCCCCCTCTGCGCAAAAAAAAAAAAAAGGAAAATATATATACGAGCCCTAACAACTATATATTGGGACATAATAGAATTTATATAACGATTAATTTATTAACAACAATTGAACAGATTATTTTGTTTTAATACATTTTTCAAATTAATATCATTTAACTAGACAATTAACAACATTTTATCTAATGAACTACACAAAAACAAAATACATATCCTATTACTTCTAATTAAACTAGAAAAATTTAAATTTTGCCTGACAACTAAATATTGGGACACTGCACGATTTGTATTTCTAATATGGAGTAACATCGCCCTTAGATTTTATAACCGCTTGAATTCGGTTGGGCATTGAATTCACAAAGGTTCTACACTGTTCAGTAGTAAATCCATCCCAAATTTGCTTTATTTTGGCTTTAAGTTCTGGCAATGTCCGTTGTGGGTTGTTCCTCAAAGTTTGTTTCATTTTGTGCCACACTGTTTCAATTACATTCAGATCTGGACTGTTGCTAGGCCAATACAGAACATTAATATTTTGATCGCAAACCACTTTTTTGTAGTTTTGGCCGTATGACAAGCCGCTCNTAATATTGCATACATAATATGCATGGCTAATCGCAGAAGTTTCTTGTTGTATTTCAAATACCCATCTGTTAAGATTTCTTAACATCTTGTTAAGAACTTACCATCTTGTTGATGTTGGTCATATCAATCAAAAAATTCGTATTCACTGTAAAACTGGACACCCACTGTAAAATTAGAAAATCTCAAATTACTCTAGAAAGGTAGTACAAATTTAAAATATTTTTGATGATTTATTACACTTAGAAAAGCAAAAGTAGATATCTTGGTTACCTCTGCAGTTTGACTACTGAACAGTAAAGGACATTTTAATCACAGTTGACAATAAAAACAATATTCCTACAGTACAAATTTTAATAATATAACTATAAGAAAATTATACATTTGGAATAACACTAATGCTTTGTTGGATAGCCTGTTTGCTTCACAACAGCACTTAGACAACTCTGCTTTGATTCCACTAGTTTAGTGATTGAATGGTATTTTAGTCCATTCTGTCTTCAACGCCATTTTTAAGTCGATCACGTTTCTAATATCGTAATGTTTCAATTTCTTCTTGAATATTGACAATAAGATTGAGATTGGGCTATGTATTGGGCTTTGTGATGGTGTTTTGAGGAGTTGTGGACTTCACAGAAGTTAGCACCTAATTTTTTTAAAACTTCAAATTTCTCTTGAGTTCCCATTGCACTCCATTGAGTTCTATAGTTCTATACCATTTTTAATAATAATTCCGCAAAAATAGGCAAAAAATCGATATCGACTTTTTAACTATTAAACGAATGCAGGTATCAAAAAATGTTATCAAAATATCTTTTAGAACTCGTGAGGTGCTATCCAGAACTCCTATAAGAACTCCCGAATCTTTTCAAAATATTTACCCCTCCGGGACATTTACGAAATCTCAATGTGAATACTTAAAATCGCGCATAATTTCTTAAATATTAGTTTTACGGCATCGAGCCTTAATCATTTTCGTTAGAACTCGTGTGGTGCTACTCAGAACTCCTGGAACTTTTCAAAATTTTCACCCCTCCGGGACATTTACGAAATCTCAATGTGAACACTTAAAATCGCGCACAATTTCTTAAATATTAGTTTTACGGCTTCGNGAACGGTTTGACCGATTTTAATGTTCTATATCTCAAACGAAAGCTTGCGTCTGGCTGAATAATTATGTGTAAAGTATATTGAACACTTCCATATCTGAATCTGCTAGTTTTCCATATGTATATGTAAATAGTATAATCATGCAAAATAATTTGATATTAAAATAGTATTATTTAAGTGTTTGCCTAACCTATCCTTTGATATGGACTCCCCCGCCGATAGAATGAGAGTCATTCAGCTTGCGCATACTACATATCAATCCTATTATTCCACGTGGAAAATAATCATGATGCAGATATACCCACTTCATAGGCATGCTGGAGGGTTTGTAAGCCTCGCTAACGACAATGCCTCCATGAAAGTACTACCTCTCATTGAGATCAGAGCATTATGGTTATTTTAGGTGACGTCCTTTGAGGTCGGGGTTAATTGATCGTCTCTTTTCTTATTATGACTCTATCTCACTTATCTACATTTATTCTCTTTTTGAGAATAAACAGTGCGTGATGCAACCCAACATATACAGTTGCCGATTTTATACATATGGTTAGCAATCTGGAGTAGTATAATCAATGGTAGTACCTACAAGTATGTGAAAAACGACATTAAACAAATTACATTACAATCGTTTTATACATTTTATGAAATTTAGATATTGCATAAAATGTTGCAAATCATTGTCACATTATTGCAATTAGGAATCATCACTGTTAAATGCTCCAATATTGAATGAAAATAATATTGCATACATAATATGCATGGCTAATCGCAGAAGTTTCTTGTTGTATTTCAAATACCCATCTGTTAAGATTTCTTAACATCTTGTTAAGAACTTACCATCTTGTTGATGTTGGTCATATCAATCAAAAAATTCGTATTCACTGTAAAACTGGACACCCACTGTAAAATTAGAAAATCTCAAATTACTCTAGAAAGGTAGTACAAATTTAAAATATTTTTGATGATTTATTACACTTAGAAAAGCAAAAGTAGATATCTTGGTTACCTCTGCAGTTTGACTACTGAACAGTAAAGGACATTTTAATCACAGTTGACAATAAAAACAATATTCCTACAGTACAAATTTTAATAATATAACTATAAGAAAATTATACATTTGGAATAACACTAATGCTTTGTTGGATAGCCTGTTTGCTTCACAACAGCACTTAGACAACTCTGCTTTGATTCCACTAGTTTAGTGATTGAATGGTATTTTAGTCCATTCTGTCTTCAACGCCATTTTTAAGTCGATCACGTTTCTAATATCGTAATGTTTCAATTTCTTCTTGAATATTGACAATAAGATTGAGATTGGGCTATGTATTGGGCTTTGTGATGGTGTTTTGAGGAGTTGTGGACTTCACAGAAGTTAGCACCTAATTTTTTTAAAACTTCAAATTTCTCTTGAGTTCCCATTGCACTCCATTGAGTTCTATAGTTCTATACCATTTTTAATAATAATTCCGCAAAAATAGGTAAAAAATCGATATCGACTTTTTATCTATTAAACGAATGCAGGTATCAAAATATAATCAAAATATCTTTTAGAACTCGTGAGGTGCTATCCAGAACTCCTATAAGAACTCCAGAAACTTTTCAAAATATTTACCCCTCCGGGACATTTACGAAATCTCAATGTGAATACTTAAAATCGCGCACAATTTCTTAAATATTAGTTTTACGGCATCGAGCCTTAATCATTTTCGTTAGAACTCGTGTGATGCTACTCAGAACTCCTGGAACTTTTCAAAATTTTCACCCCTCCGGGACATTTACGAAATCTCAATGTGAACACTTAAAATCGCGCACAATCTCTTAAATACTAGTTTTACGGCATCGAGCCTTAATCATTTTCGTTAGAACTCGTGAGGTGGTACCCAGAACTCCTATTTCTTAAATTTCTTAAATGTTAATGTTTAGATTGTCAATGTTAGATGAAAATAAACCCAAGAACTAATATACAGGGTGTATCTGAATGACTGCAACAAACTTCAAGGGGTGATTCTTTAGTGAATTTTAAGGGTACTTTGGTATATGAACTATGGGCGACTTCGGCTCCCCTAAGGAGCTACACCCCTCCAAAAATGGCGAAAAATTTTGAAAGTATGTATCCCAAAACTTTTTTGTCTCTCTAAAATTTTTCCAAAAACGACTAATTTTTGAGAAAAAAAATAATAAAGCAAACACTACCCGTTAGACAACGGGGTTGTCGATCAAAAGTTGGAATGAATTTTAATGAAAAAATCTTAGTAGGCTTTGAAATCTTTGTCAGAAATATTTTTGACGTTTAAGACGACTAAGTAATAAAATATGGGGGGTGCCATTTAAAGAAATGAAGTTATGGTACTTCCAAGTTTCGAAAAGGTAACGTGCCATAGTAAAGTTACCAAACGTTCTAGACAGCCATACTCGGCACCAAAACATACTCCATCATGTTGCTTAAGCATGTTCCGAATCCTAAATTGATACCCCAAAAATCAAGTGTTCTCTGATTTTTTGAACAAATGTCTGCTGGAGCAGATTTTTCTAGAAAAATTCGAATAACTCGAGAACGGCCGAATCAAATTGCAAAAAGTAAAGTCAATAATAAACCTTGAAAACAGACAAATCCAAATATGTAAAAATATACAGGGTGTTCCATTTAAAAAAATAAAGTAGGTGGCGACTTCCGGTATAACCGGAAGTGTTAGATATTTGAAAATATATTAGTCGAAGAGAACGCAATTGATAATACTTAAATCTGAATTTTCAAATTTGTATTTTGGCCAGAACCCTGTAAAATTCTAATGGACGGTCTTCGTGGATGCCCCTGTATATTATTTATATTCACTTGAGCACAACAATATTTTGTTTGTGTTCATGTGCGCAATGTGAACAGTACTTAATTAATATTGCACTTGGGTTATTTACAAATAAATGTTTTGCTAAATGTGCAACATTACAGTTGGTGTTTAATTGCAATATACTTTTTGTGTAGTTTGTCCGCATAAATATTGGAAGTGAGACTAATAATTTTGTTCTGTATTGATAAATATTTTCGGAAATTTTTTTACCATTTAAAAGAAGAATGTTTTTTCCGAAATTTAAAATATCACTGTTTTGATCTACAGTGTGACCCATTTGAAAGCGGAACGCCCTCGTAAAATTTGTATATATTATCCGATTTCTATAATTATTTTTTGAATTGTAGAGCGTAAAAAACTGTACCTTAGGATAAAGAGTCATGTTTTTCTTAAAAAAAACCAAGGCCTACTATTTCACGTTTTAGATGAAAAAAATAAAGAAATCATATTAGGAAATTTTTTACAAAAAATCTGAGTACACCACTGCATTAAGCTCCGTTTGAAATGGGCATATACCAAATTTCATCAAAAATGGTTACAAATTAATACCGTTACAGATAATGAAAAGTATAATTTTTTATCAATTAATTTAATCTGTAACAAAAGTAAATAGTTTTTGTATTATTGTCTGTATTTTATTACCTTTTTTGTCATGGTTTACTGGGATCAGATCAAATGAATCTAAACATTAACATTTAAGAAATAGGAGTTCTGGGTAGCACCTAACGAAAATGATTAAGGCTCGATGCCGTAAAACTAATATTTAAGAAATTGTGCGCGATTTTAAGTGTTCACATTGAGATTTCGTAAATGTTCCGGAGGGGTGAAAATTTTGAAAAGTTCCGGGAGTTCTGAGAGGAGTTCTGGATAACATCTCACGAGTTCTAAAAGACATTTTGATAACATTCTTTGATACCTGCATTCATTTAATAGTTATTGCAAATTTTGTGATCTCGTTTTGTGAACTTAGCAACCCAAAAAGTCGATATCGATTTTTTTGCTTATTTTAAATAGCCTAAAAAATGAGGTACTAACTTCACAGACGTGTTTTGAGGTGCTCTCAGTCTCTTTGTACTGCCGCGTGGTTATGAGCCGCCTGTATGCAAACTTAAAAACGCCACCCCTCCCACAAAAGTTAAACAAGGAAAATATACCTATAAGAAATCAAGGACAGTAGAATCTAACAGGACTGCTACATTCATCGTATTTTTGTAGTCCACTACGGGTTGGTTGCCCGCACTCTACGTCACACTATTTGCCACGCCTGGTAACTGTCTGTGTTTTTAGAGGTTATATCATAGACATTAATACGTCTAAAAACATAAAACTTCAAAAATAATATCAATATAATATAGTTCGTTTTTTTTCTATAATACTTGTTAATGTAAATTTTTTAGGGTTTCTGTTGGTATTATCCAGGACCCTTATAAAATTTGTGTTGTTTTCCTGATTTTTAGTAACATTTTCAGCTCTGATTTTCAGTAACTAAATAGTTGAGGTTAAAATACTAATAAATTTTTAGATAAATACAATTTTAACGAAGTACATATTTGTTGTAAAAACGTGCTACAAGGTAATTAAATAGAACAAAACACCTTTTCTAGGTAAATAAATGACAAATAAACACCCCGCAACATTTTTTATGCACCTTTTCTTTTTGAATAACGAAAGCTGAAACGTCAATGTGACATATTTATTTCAAAACATGATAAAACAAAACTCTCTGTTAATTTTGCCAGCTTTACAACAATTTGGCAGGTATTATAGAAAGAAAATGAACTATATGTGTAGGATATAACCTTTAAAAATACACAGCAAACGTATAGACCATAACAACAGCTGGTCGTGGAAAATGGTGTGACGTAGTTTGCGGGCAGGTTGTCACAACAATGGATGTAGCTATTTAGATTCTACTGTCCTTGATAAGAAATATTCTTTATTAAGTAAGTTATAAAATGTATGTTAAAATAAATTAACACATATTATTATAAAATATTTACTCGTCTTGCTTTTATGCTTGCAAAATTTTTAACTAATTCAAACTATACTATCCATAATATCATTTTCTGTAGATATTATGGATAAATCTGTTAAGCGCTCTTGACTCATAGATGACCGTAAATAGTTTTAAATAATTTTTAATTTTGAAAAACTTCTCTCTCCTGAAGCAACTGACACTGGCAATGTTAAATAGATGCGTCATGTTATCGTAGTATCGGGAAAAACATCACTTAAACTATTTTCGTACATATACTTTTTTACATATACTTTACATTATGAGGTGACATATCTGTTTTAATAAATGTTTGTATTGCTTGTAATTCTTCGAAAAGAATATTACCGTCTATATCGTGATCCTCTTGATGATTGGCATTTGTCAATATATTGACAAATGCCAATCATATTGCGAATAATTGTAAATATATGTCATTATTTTCTTTTAGTAAATCTTTCAGTGATAGAAGACAAGGTGGTATCTAATATGGCAAAAAAGAAATTAATTTTGAAATTGTCTTTGTTAGTAAGGATCGGTTCATTATCTGACTCATATTCAAATTGTTTTTTCTTTTTTCTTCTGCGAACATCTGAAAATGTAGGTTCCACATCTAAACTTTCAGCTATGTTCTTTGTAGAATTCACAATTGATTCAAATTTGTCATCTGTCCGATAGACGTTTAGATATAGTGTAATTTGCTCGATGGATTCTCATGTTATATGACGGATCTTGCATCATTTTGTCCAGAAAGTCCACAGTGTGTCCAAAAAGCTTCCTCGGCTGAGCCACCTAACATGACAAAAAAGAAGTAAATCTTCATATTCCGAGTCATTGTCTTCAAGTTGATTACGGAATAGACGCATCCTTAAACTTCGCGCTCTTATCGAATTAGTAATTGCTACATCCATAATATCCTTAACTTTTTGTTTGTTTTCTTCTACTTTTAACGGTACGTCTTTTATTATATCTGGTAAATAATTTTTAGTTGCCGATGGCAATAACATTCTAGTTGATCTACTATACAATCTTTCTACAGGACTTGTACCGATTTTGTTTGGTACATTCCGGAGATGTAGTAAATTTAGCCATATATCTTCATTATTCATTTCTGATTTCTTAATTATTCGTTTCGCAATTTTGCAGTAGCCTCGGCTTTCCCATTTGCTTGTGGATAATGAGGGGGTTCCATAACCTTGGAATACATCTTTGTATTTTTCTATAATCATGTGTGCTTCATTTTCTAATTTTTCTATAGAATCCAAATTATTTACAGTAATTGTATTACAAAATTTTACAAGACCCAGTTTTACACATGTATCGGCTGACAGAAGTTGACCATGTTTATCATCAACCACTTGAAAATTAAGAGCATATTCTTTTCCTTTATGAAGACATATTAGAGTTTTTCTCCAATAACTTTAATTTGATTACCTCCAAAGGAATACAACTTATGTTTTGATTTATTTAGATTCGGTTCATTCATAATATTTAGATATTCTTGTCCAATAATACATACATTTGCTCCTGTATCAAGTTCACATAATAGTTTTTTCTGTTTACCACTAATTAAAAATTTTAAATCAGCTTTTACTGTTCCTCCTTTGCATGAATCATCTTTAATTTTCTTAATTTCAGTTTCCGAATCTGTAGAATAGAAAAGATTTCGAATTTTGTTGTACTTTTACTGGTTTATTTATATTTTTGTTGTCTAAACTAGACAACAAAGTAGACAACAAAAATATAAATAAACCAGTAAAAGTACAACAAAATTCGAAATCTTTTCTATCACGTCTTTTTTATTAGTTTATTCACTAAATTGTCGGTATTGTCTAAATTTTTCATCCTTTCTGATGTTATTTCGTCAACTCGACAGATATCAATAGCCTGTTGTAATGTTAATTCCGGTTTTATCATTAATTTCTTCCTGACATCTCTGTTTTTATACCCAAAACAATACGATCCCTGAGTAAATCATCTTTAAAAGTACCGAACTCGCATGTTTCTATAAGTAATTGTAATCTTAAAAAATATTCGTCGAAAGGTTCGTTTTCATTTTGATTTGCGCTATTAAACATTGCGCGTTCATAAATAACATTTTTCTTGTTCCTTAAATTTTTACATATTGTCGATATCACATTCGTACAAGACTTTTTATTCTCAGATGTGAGATTAAAATCATTGTATTTGATCATGGCTCTGTAATGAATGTATGTACTTTTTTATCTTCATCGTTATCTGGCCATTTATCGATACCAGTTGCAATAATATAATTGTTCCATATTTTAACAAAGTACTCGAAATTTTGAGCAATATCACCTTTTTTAACATTTAGAGGTCCAGGTAAAGGAATTTTTGCATTTTCCTGATTTTGCACAGGCACTCAGTTTGTTTNGTGGTGCTACTCAGAACTCCTGGAACTTTTCAAAATTTTCACCCCTCCGGGACATTTACGAAATCTCAATGTGAACACTTAAAATCGCGCACAATTTCTTAAATATTAGTTTTACGGTATCGAGCCTAACTTTTTGTTTGTTTTCTTCTACTTTTAACGGTACGTCTTTTATTATATCTGGTAAATAATTTTTAATAATAATTTTTTCTTAATAATAATTTTCTTGAAGCAAATCCTATTATTTTATTTTGCATCACATTCGATAACAATCGGTTTTTCTTTTTCAAAATATTTTAGCGTTATATTGGAAGTTAGTAAATTTTTAATATTTTCGAATTCTTGTTTTTGCATTTCTGACAAATTCCATTCTACGTTGTTTTTTAATAATTATTTTAAATGATGAATTTCACTGCTGAGATTCTTTACATATCTACTAAGATAGGTAATCATACCAAGAAGACGGTGAAAATCATTTTTGTTATTAGGCTCTAGAAAATTTTTGATTGCTAATACTTTGTTTTCGTCCGGTTTTACTCCTTGATTTGTCAAAATATGTCCGTAAAATTTTACACTGTCCTTATAAAGGCATAATTTATCCAAATTCAACTTACAATTATGTGCTTTAAGACGAATAAGCAAATTTTCCAAATTTTTATTGTGGTTTATCAATGCTTCTTTTTGGTCGTCTCCATATCCAATTATCAAAATATCATCAGCCAACAATTCATTTCCCTCCAAACCATTCAACATTTGACACATTTAATTTTTGAATATTTCGGGTGCTGGTGAGATATCAAATTGCATTCGTAATCATTTATACCTTGCAAAAGGCGTCCAAAATGTTGTAAGCTTGCTGCTACTTTCGGATAATTTTATTTGCCAAAATCCTTTCTTAGTGTCGACGATACTAAAAACTCTTGCTTTTCCTAGTTCGGGAAGTGTGTCATCAATAGTATTCGATCGTTTGAGAGCTTTGTTTAAAGGTATCAGGTCAAGACAAATAATTTGTTATCTTTTTGTATAATTAAGATATTGCTTACCCATTCGGTATTTTCATCTAGTTTTTCTATTATTTTGTTTTTCATAAGATTATCTAATTCCTCTTTTAATTTATCTCGGAGATACGCCTAGCTTTTTGAATACTGGGTGCAATGTTTTCATCAACTTCTAAATTGATTGAATTTTCTAAACAACCATAACCTCGGAATACATCTTTGTATTTTTCTATAATCATGTGTGCTTCATTTGCTAATTTTTCAATAGAATCCAAATTATTTACAGTAATTGTATTACAAAATTTTACAAGACCCAGTTTTACACATGTATCGACTGACAGAAGTGGACCATGTTTAACATCAACCACTTGGAAATTAACAGGATATTTTTTTCCTTTATGAAGACATATTAGAGTTTTCTCTTCAATAACTTTAATTTGATTTCCTCCAAAGGAATACAACTTATGTTTTGATTTATTTAGATTCGTTTCATTCATAATATTATTTAGATATTCTAGTCCAATAATACATACATTTGCTCCTGTATCAAGTTCACGTAATAGTTTTTTCTGTTTACCACTAATTAAAAATTTTAAATCAGCTTTTACTGTTCCTCCTTTGTATGAATCATCTTTAATTTTCTTAATTTTAGTTTCCGAATCTGTATTATCGCTTTCTCTACTTTGATCACTTATCTCTTCATTATCTTCTTTTTTTAAAAATTTTTTATTTTGATTCTTATCTTTCTTTTTGCATACCTTTGCAAAATGGTTTTTTCCACCACATTCCGAACACTTCTTACCAAACGCAGGACATAATCCTTTTTCAAACTTATGTTTTCCTCCACAAAATAAGCATAGTTTTGCATTAAATTCTTTTTTATTAGTTTATTCCGAAATTGTCGGTATTGTCTAAATTTTTCATCCTTTCTGATGTTATTTCGTCAACTCGACAGATATCAACAGCCTGTTGTAGTGTTAATTCCGGTTTTGTCATTAATTTCTTCCTGACATCTCTGTTTTTTATACCCAAAACAATACGATCCCTGAGTAAATCACCTTTAAATGTACCAAACTCGCATGTTTCTATAAGTAATTGTAATCTTAAAAAATATTCGTCGAAAGTTTCGTTTTCATTTTGATTTGCGCTATTAAACATTACGCGTTCATAAATAACATTTTTCTTCTTCCTTAAAATTTTACATATTGTCGATATCACATTCGTACAAAACTTTTTATTCTCAGATGTAAGATTAAAATCATTGTATTTGATCATGGGTCTGTAATGAATGTATGTACTTTTTTATCTTGATCTTTATCTGGCCATTTATCGATACCAGTTGCAATAATATAATTGTTCCATGTTTTAACAAAGTACTCGAAATTTTGAGCAATATCACCTTTTTTAACATTTAGAGGTCCAGGTAAAGGAATTTTTGCATTTTCCTGATTTTGCACAGGCACTCAGTTTGTTTTTGTAATAAGTATCTCCACTAATCCTTCAATATTTTTTTTTTGACTTTGCTACTAGGTAAACTAGGTAACTACTGATAAGATTACAAAAAATAAGGATATAAATTACTTATCTTTTCAATCTTTAATTCCACGTCGCTGTTTTGGATTCAATTTTACGATGAACCTGACGTTTCTTCTGACCACGTTTTCTTTGGATTCGTTTTATCTTCTTTTCAGTCCTCCGATTCCACTGAAAGTTACTTTTCACCTGACACCAGGTTATAGGATGTAATATAATGATACACCTAAATGTTTGTTAGACAAACTTTAAACTATTTTATTTATTAACTTTTTGTTACAACACTATTTAAGTGTAAATAGTAATGTTGAGGAATAAAAAAGAAACAAGAAAAACACATTATTATATTTTTATATTATTTGAAATTAATTTATTCAACAACATTTTGAACACAACAACACTGCATACAATTCATTCACATATTCCTAAACACATCCCATTTACTGTCAAAGAGATTAACATACATAAACACTGATGGTCCCATTTGTTTGGGAATAAAGAGAAGAAACAACATACAATAAAAATTAATCGCCTTTTTATTTACACGCAAATATTTTTCATATTTTAATTATTTGCCGAAATTTGAAGGTTTTTTATTTTGATTTTAAACTTTCATAAATAGTAAATAGTTTTTCGATTAAATGTTTTATATTGCTTGAAAAGAAAAAAAAAATAGGTGTTACATTATATAGACGTGGAATGCCTAGAAATCTCATTCATGCGGTTCGATTTGTTTTAAAATGATATTATTAAACGGTCATTCAAACCCGACGCAACAATCGCTATTAAGCATAAAATTTATTGCTTCTTTTAAGTTTAAATATTTATTAATAAGATTAATCTCGTTCGGATTTTTTGTGTAGAGATTATTTAAAAAATTATTGCGTAAAATTTGATTGATTCCGTACAGCAAATAAAGCCTCCCTAAGAGATTGTACAAAAAAATTACTTAAAATCACAGAATTAAAAAATAAAATAACCAGCCGTAATAATTAAAAAATTAAATTCACTCAACTTTCAGGCGAATCGAATCGATCATTTGCGCATTTATACAAGAATACTGTTGTCAATTTAAAATTAAAAATTATTTATAGATATTGCAAAATATGATAGTTTTAACTATTATATTAACAAGATTGCCCTATTCAGCACGTTTTCTTTTTTTTCGATTTTTCTTCATTAAATAAATAGTTCTTTTTAACAAGTATACAATAATTAGTAAAAATATTTGTCTATTCGTTTATCTCACAATCTCCTAATGCTGTTTCGTAATTTTTATTTACATGGCAGCTTTTATATGTATACACAATGGGGATTTATTTTTGATGTTCACTAATGTTGTAGCAACAAGAAACAAAACAAAAAAATAGAAACAAAACTTAAATAAAAAATAATAAAAAAATAAGTAAAACATCGAAACGAACAAGAAATAACAAAATACCCATTCTTTCAAAGTAAATTTTTATATTCACAAAATAATAAATTAGCCCTCGTCATTAATGATTTCGAGTAATAGTCTCTTTAAGCTATCCAAACCGGTCAAGAAACCTCCGTCGGGACCTTGATGAACAGTGGAACTTGGAGCTGTCGAACTGTTATTCGTAACAAACGACGTATGCGCAAAATCGATCATTCTTAAATCCACTTGAACAGGTGCTGGAGATTTTGACCTTCTCGTACTTCCGGACGCCACGCCTAAATGCGTATCTTTCACCCTTTGTCTTTTCGAAACACTTTTATGTGCAACGGTGGTATTTAATTCCTCATCATCTTCATCCTCCAGTTCCAACTCTTCAAATTGTAACTGACAATTTCGTGTTGCTTTCGTTTTCGCCGGAGAATTTAATTCGAAATCGGAAGTATCATCATTTGAACTAACCCCGTTATATTGTCCCGGTAATGAGTACTCATCGCTGCTACTATTTGAGTACATCATCCAACTATCGAGAGAAACGGGACTCGAGACCGTTATTTGTCGCGGCGGCGAATCCATATACATTGTCGTCTCTTCGGAGATCGGATAAAAATTTGTCGCAGATTTTGCTCCTCTTGCCGCAGCCTCGCCAAATCCGCGATGGTGAGAATCTTGACTGACATCATCGTGACTTAAATCCAACGATGAATTACTTGCATCAGCATCGTAACAACATGGAATATCGCGACTTGTATCTGAGCATTGTGTATAATCGTTTATACAAAATACGGGACTATTTGAACAGATCTTTGATTTTCCTACCATGTATGGTATACCACCGTTTCCTTCATATACAACCAATAAGGAACTATTAAAACAAAAATTAAATACAGTTAGATATATACTTTTTAATCTATGTATGTAGTTGCTTAAAAAAAGTTGTAATGGATCTAATGGTCAATATTTGTCATTTGATGTGATATACTTAAATTAATATTATTTGTTGGCGTGAATAAATTTTGTTTTCTCTCTCTCTGATTCGAACAGTTTTACATCCTAGAGCGAAGATAAATTATTTTTCAAATAGAAATGTGATTTCATAAAACGCAATAAGAATATGAAGAATAAATTTAATTTACATCTTTTAATTTACAATTGAGGTGATGTACTTGTTATTGTGAATTATCAAACGTTTGAGTTGATAGAGTTAATTAAATAGTTTACTGAAGGTAGAGTAGAAGTGTTTGCTTATAAATTGGAATCAGTAACCTATCAACGTTGTATTGCGAACTATCATGATTAAATGATAAATATGATGTACAATTCTGTATTTTTTGAGAGGTGTTTAAAATTACATTTAAATATGCTATTTCGACGGTATGTTACCTTTATTAACCAATTTAAACTTGGTGAAATCATAACTGATACGACAAAAATAACCCAAAATTCAGCTACTTTAATAAATCATATTTTTATTATATTATTATTATTGTATTCATAATATTATAGATCACAATCGATATATCGAAATCCTAAAATGATTGTATTTTGTTGGGGAAAGAAGCTTTCGTGATCCAGACATAAGCTTGCAGTTTCTCTTATAAATGACCTTGAAGTCATAAGAATTTTAAAAGTAATCAAAACTAATGGAGTTTAAGTAATGACATGAAAAGCTCACCTAGATAATAGAGTAAAAAAAAGCGTACGTGCCAGAGGGCTATAGGTAAGAGATGTCACCCAAAAATGCCCTCTGGATTTATATGACTGTAATCCGACCTATGCTTACAAATGGTGCAGTAGTATGGTGGTCAAAGACCTTACAGTCTACATCCACTGCTGCACTTAATAAAGTACAGAGACTCGCGTGTTTGTATGTTACAGGTGCACTGCGGACTAGCGCAGCCATGGAAAACGTGTTGAACCTAACACTTTATACATTATTTGTTATACATTTGTTCATTCAAGAGGTGGCACTTGTGACCATGATTCGACTGCGTGCAGCAGGAATTCTAATGGGTGAAAGAGATAGTAAAAACGCCGTGCTCTGGAAGGAGATGGTGCGTTTCTCACCAATTCTGGAATCTAAAACGGACTTCACACCCTTGCAACACATTTTTACGAAGAAATATCTCACCCACACAAGCTCCACAGAAGTAGAAGTAAAAAAAAGCTTTAAAATCTATACTGATGGTTCAAGCAGACGAGAAGGAACTGGAGTCTTCTCGTATGATCTCCGACCCCACGTATCTGAACCACTAGGTAAAGGTGACCACCGTCATACAGGCGAAGTTAATCCATTGTTCATTGTCAGATCCAGCTTGGAAGGTAAGGCTTTTACAATTTACACTGACAGTAGACAAGCTATTCTAGCCCTGAGTAGAATAACAATTACCTCAGGACTTGTTATGGATTGTCATCTGACATTGGAGAAGGCAGCAGTGCTTAACTGTGTTATACTTCAATGGACAAAAGGAGACTCGACCTATTCAGGTAACAAGCACGCAGATAGGCTTGCTAAAAGGGCTGCCAAGCGAGCGTCCTGTTCGCCTGAACCGATAATAACTTCGTTCTTATCAACTCAAATTGAAATAATTAAAGATTTCACCTACAAAAAGTTTATGAACTGGTGGGGAAAGGTTAAGGGCTGCTATCTGTTTAAGGAACTACTTTATTACCCTTCAGCAGAGGCAGCCTTGTCTTTCGTAAAGCTTGGTAGAAACGCTCTACGAATTGTAACGGGACTCGTCACGGGTCACTGTAAGGTAAACAAGCATCTTCATAACCTTAAGCTTGCTGTTAACCCTCTCTGTCGCTTTTGTGAAGAGAGCGAGGAGACTGTTCGACACATCTTGTGTGATTGCCCCACTTTGCAAGATCTCAGAATGAGAGACTTCGGAGAGGAATGGCCGAGCACGGATGGCATCAGGAACGCATTTCTGCGCTGTATCCTAGCCTTTGGAAATTCGTTAGGCTGGTTGATATAGCCGGAGAGAGCTGGAGAATGTACAAGGGGCCGTTGGAGCCTAGGTGGTAAATATGAAAATGCTTTAACTCTGTTGTCCAACTATTCTGATTTTCTATATTAAGCCCCTTGTATGTCGTCTTGATATTTACAGAATCTTATCAAGTTGTTAGTTTTCGCCAGGGTTTTAGCAATATAATAGCTTTTAGGATCGATTAATAACGTTTTAGGAGAAATTGACTTGATTAACTTCATCAGTAGACTTGCAGTATCAAAGTATTTTTATTTGATTTAAGTAGATTAGATTTATTGACACTCAGTTACTCTTTAAAACGTACGATTTTGAGTCTGCTGAAACCAATACAAAACTACTTAATGTTGAGGAACTTGCTTTTTCTTCAAATTAATGCTACAAAGTTATGATTTTCAGGGAGAGATGTTTGATTGAATTTGTAAACATTACCATAAAATTGCTGATTACAAACTGGACGAAGCAAACTCAGTTTTGGATGCAACATTAAGAACTGACCGTTTTGATTTGATGAACGTATTCTATTTGATGAGTAGAACATAAAATTTTGTAATAAGAGATTTCTTTTAGCCAGAACCTGAAAGTACAACTTTGTGAAATTTTGGTGTTACCAATGGTCAATCATGTGATTTATCAGTTTTGTCTTGAAAGTGTCACTATCGCAAAATCTCTCCACCGTCTACAAAAAAATTCAAATGTAGCTTATTACATCCCTAAGATGTATAATTAGTGAAATGCCTTCTTTAAGTGTCTTGATCCGCTTTCGTTTAAATGTGAGTTTAGTGCTTATTTCAATGAGCTGGTAGTTAATTAAACATTTCCATTTTATATATATTTTAGTGTGTTGTGGATCTGCTTGGATTAGAACCTCTACCTGACGTTGATGGTAGTAGCTTGTGCAAGGCCATGTAGCTGACGGCTCTCGATAAAGGAACCAGACCTTGGGGCAATACTAAGGTTCATTAAAGACCTACATTTGCCTTAAACTTTTGGAGGGCTAAACTTACAATAGATCTTACAGGTCGCGGTAACGAGAGGGACCGCTGCCCTCAGCCTGGCAGCAATACTAATAATAATTCCTTTGAAACCTTTATTATTTGTATGGAACTTCAAGTTATTGAGCGCCAACTCTTAAGGAGTTAAAGTACTTAAACAGATTACGACATATTAAGAATAAGGTTTTGAAGAAATAATCTTATTTGATCTTTAAAATGGCCGTGGTCATGTGTTATCATTTAAATATTATTATTTACTATATCACATCAAATGTTATATTTATCTTCCAAAATAAACTGAGTATTGTTTTTAAAATAAAAACTTACCATGAATAAAACCTGTAGCAACTTTGTTTTTCAATAACGCTTCTTAATTGATCCAATTTTTCAATAACTTTCCTTATAACGTACATCCTCAAACCAAATCCATTATCAAAAAACTGACAGAGACCATTTTTAAAACCACTCTCATCTAATTCCCTCCCCCAATACTTGTCGCGTTTATCATAATGATCTCGATCAGCTTGATAAACTTGCATTCCACAAAGACGAACTCCTAAAGAAGCCGATGTGCTAGCTGCGCACTTAGCCATTTGTTTGGTACGTTTTTCCGCGGTAGCATCATCTCCGTGTTGTCTCGTACCCATTTTCAAGTCGAGAATGCAAGGATGGGTATAGTTCGAGGTGATGTTTTCCAGCATAATGAAGTACTGTTTATTAGTGTTATCCGTTTGAGAGATGCTCTTCAAGACATCTTTAGGATGACCGGTGTTGTGTATTTTCATTCTGAAAGGTCGCCTATGTTAATAAATTAAAAATGTTTAAATTAAATGATTTAACTTAAAAATTTACTTTTAAAAATTACTTTAAAAACTTACTTTAATACTTCTTCTCGTTTTCTTTTAAAACCACTTTTTGTACGTGAATTTTCGTAGTCTCGGAAGCTGGGGCTGTAACGTTTTTCCAATTTTTCGCCGCTGCAGAGAGTCGCTTGCATAACGCCTGAAACAATTCCCCCAGATTTTTAACTAGCTGTTTAACCATTTTTTGCGGTTAAAAATTATTTAATTCTTTTTTTTTTCAATGTACTTTTTGTTTAATCATTTTTTTCTGATTAAATAGAAAAATAAAATAAATGAATACTCATTTTTCAAGAATGGGTCTCTTTTGTATTACGGAATTAAATGCATCTTTTTTTTTAATCAGCGTTGAAAGACAAATATAAGAGACTGTAATAAATAACGTGACGTACAAAAAGCGTGCAAACAGTGTTTTCCTATGAAATTATGATGATACAATTATTAAAAATGAAGATTTTTTAACTAAGAAAGCAGTGGTATGGATTGTTATTAAAATGATTAAAACTAAAGAAAAAAATAGATAAAAAAGGTGTTTTATTATTTTTTTTAGTAAGTAAATTTAAATATTAAGGGTTAAGTTATGTAACAAAAATCATTGCATGTAATACTAGTTTTAAATCTAAAACTTTAGATTTAAATTTAAAGTACACGTTTTTGTTACATAATTGTGTGTGTCTTTACGTTCCGAATTGTATACTTTTTTGGCAAAGAGTTGAACTGTACGTAAAGTAAAAAAAGTAAAATAAAAAAAAATAAATAAAAAGAGCCTTCCAACCCTTCATACAAATGTAACTGCGTCCATACAAACCCCTTTTGAATGGACGAATTGTAGAGACAATTGGACACGTCTGGCAGCAGGCAGGAGTCTGTCTGTGTCTGAGCCGATCCGACCCGGAAGGAGGAGGCGTGATCCTCAATAAAACAGTACAAAATAGTGGCATAACGATATATGCTAACACATTCATCAAATCCCATTCACACGCAGAGGAAATTCATATATCTATCCGTATTGCAACTTTTCGTTGCCCCCTTTCGCATAGATAATTAATTATAAAACAAAAGGCACCTTATAAACTAATAAATTAAATTATCATACCGTTTCGCTTTTCGTTTTTCTTCATCAGTCTGCGAACCGCACTGATTAAAATATCACCAAATCAAAAACTCATACTTACCTGAGTTTTAAATAAATATTTCTACTTACTGAAATCAACCGATTTGTGAAATCAGAGTTAATTATAAATGTTTAACAATAAGAAGAGGGGTAACATTTTTTTACAATATATTTTTTTTTAACAATTAATTCACATCGCTTCAATAAAATAAAAATAAAACAAATTAAGTGTTTTTGAAGTGATGTTTTGTCGCAATATAGGATAGTTCGAGGGATTTAATAATTAAGGATAAGTAAAAATTGGTTTTGAATTCATTCATACAACGCAACTACACTGTTCAAAATAATTACTGTTCGTATATGGCTATTATAATAATAATTTATTATAATTATTATTATTATTTCTTTGTAAATAAAAGAAAAAACGCAAACATATGATGCGTTTATTTCGGCACGTTTAAATATCGTTTACAATCGAGAGGTAATTAAAAAAAATTAATAGTAGTAGGTCGAAAGAAGGGATTCGATTCGTAAGATCAACGAATATGTGATAGTTGTAGAGCGTAATTTGAAAAATAAAGCTTTATTTCGTAAAAATAAAAAACAGGCGGCAGTACATAGCACAACGTGTCAATTAATTTAGTTAAAAATAAAATTAAAAAAAAAAACAAATAAAAAATCAACTAAAAAACACAACAAATGTAGATGAGGGTGAGCTGTTAATCGAGTATGAAATGTTCCTTTTTTTATTTCTCCATCTATAGTCTAAAAGAGGTTAAATTAATAAATCTCGAAAGAGAAATACCGTTGTTCTACATGCAGCATAAAAAGTTTATGGTTTTCTAAATAAAAAAGGTTTATTTGCTCAGTTCTCTTGTATACATTCGATTTTTTACCCTACTTAATACAAAAAAAAGCACATTAAGTCACTAATCCTACGTAATATTTTATGATACTGTATATATCACAGATTATTCCCAGATTCGTACACGTAATCCAGAGACATCTCAAAAATGAGATAATTATCACAAAATTTAAAAATAAATTTTATTTTCACTTATTTTAGTTCCGAGAAAGCGGAACAATTAGTTCAAAAAAATTGGAATGTCCCGGAATTACAAAACTAAATCAATTATAGGAATCAAAATAAAACTGGTTTGAAATTGTTTTTTTTTTCTTTTCAAAAATACGCCGAAGCGAACAGAGAAATCTGGAAACAAGTGAAAGTCTTTACAACACCAGTGTTCACGTCGGTGAATCAAGTGTCTTTTAACCGTTTTCTTTTTTGACTAAATTTTCTGTAACCGCGCTTTTCTTTTGCACTGCTGCCTTAATTCTACTCAGCTTACCTTTATACTTCGGTACAAAATTTTTGATAGGTTGGTCTTGTATATTTTGATAGAACTCTAGTTCTCTGATGTTCAACGGTTTGCATATTGTGCTCTGGTTCAGTAGCATTAACCGCGTATGTCCTCCAACCTATAAACAAATAATAAAAGTAAGAAAAATTGTTCAACTTTAAAATGAAAATTAATGCAATGAAATACATATAATTATCAAAGATAAATTGTTCCTTTTTTGAATTTACACAAAAGCAATGCAATTTATAAGGAACCACCTAGAGTTAAATCCATTAAAAACAGCCAAACCACCAAAATCCAATTAAGAGAGAAAAGAGCCATAGTCTATCTGAATGCAGAGGGATTTCCAAGGTACGTCCCAGAACTTGTTGAGTTTTGCGTGTCATCAACTTACTTAAGCTGAAAATGAGAGCCTTATGAGCAATATGGAGAAGTAGCCATTATTACCAGTATTCGCTAACTTCTATATGGAGCTGTTTGAAGAAACTGTTTTAAAAACCAGATATTAAAAACTAAACTTATGGCTACGATATGTAGATGATACTTTTATCTTCTGGAAAAACGGTAAACAAAGGCTTTCTTAAGCCATTTAAACGGCCAACATCTAATAATACAGTTCACCATAACATAAACAGGAAATTATACAGCAAAGAAAATTTGACTTTGAGAACTTCTAAAGGAGGTACTTCGGAGGAATGTTTATACATCGAAGGTGGACCCCGGGCACTGTTAGAGCACAATCAGAGCACTGTTCAGATCGTATGTGTAAAACTGTCAGAACAAATACACGAGTAGCAAGTGAAAGGTATGAAAGCCAAATGGCCACCTACAATCTCGTGAAAGCGCCGGAATCTCAGTGAATCGTAAAGGAAATATACCTAGGAGTTGACTTTGGCCAAAAAGAGTTTGCCCCAACACTTCAATAAAATGTCCTTCATAGAAATAGTACAAGTGAGTATGAAAACAATCAAGGCTGAAATTATTACATACGTTGCCAATGTATGGGTTGAGAAGAGCTTCCAAGGCCAGACAAATAAGGTTACTAAATAGCACTCAAAGAGACGAGTTAATACAACTATTTCGAGTGACTTAAACTATTTGTAACAATTTTTACAAGAACACTTTCCCTAGAGTGTTCTTTGTGCTCGTGTTGGAAACTAATCTTGTCTTAATAACATAAATAGAAATTAATATACATCCACAATATATACTGTCTATATCTATTGACCGTCTTCAAGAAATTGTGAAGACAGTCAATTATATGAAAAATTATATGAAACGTCAAGCTATCAAAATTTCAGGAATGGGAATAGGAATAAAGTACGACTTAGAACCTCCCGTTCCAGGTTCTAAGTCGTACTTTATTCCTATTCCCATTATTAAATATTAAATTAAATTATCTTTTATCAACATTTTTTGTAAACAGTACAGAACGATTTAACGACATATTTTTGGATGTTAACAAAGAAGAAAAGTTGTTGCAAAATTGAGAAACAATATTTGTATGATTAGCTGCAAAAGATCACTATTAAAGTCTATGAATAAGGCGAAGAAGAGAATGATTTAAGAGGAAGCTAAGATGATCTAAGAAGAAAAGAATAATCCAAATTAGTAGATAATCTTTTATGGACATGTTTCAAGGTAAAGAATGTGGTCAAGTTGAACAATTTTGAACGAAAATTCTCGAAAATTTAATTAAGTAATAACTGAAGATCTAAGACATAGCTAAAAATGTTTTGTACCAAAATTATTCCTCAGTGACCTATTATTTCTCACAAGGACTATTTTAACGATAAGTCAACCCAAAATATTTTATAAACTGAACCCATAAACAGAAAATCCGAAAATTGACATTCTTTTCATTAAATTAGGGTATAACTCAGAAATTAAAAGCAATAGAAAAAATATTTTTGCACCAAAATCTTCCCTTACTTCTTCTAACTAATTGTAAGTATACTTACACAGAGCTGATTTATAATCCCAACTCAACCAAAAACAACCAAATTTTTTCCACATTATGCGATGACACAAAGTATCAAAAGAAATTGAATAAGCTTTCTTTATTCTAACCATTCTATACTGACTTATCAAACGTTTCCAATTGTTCACTTAACCCACTAATCAATTTTACCCACACAACCCATCATAAAAACAATAATGCCTAAATGCCTAAAGAGATAAAAAAGACTTCCTATGCCGAAAACATTACTTATTGATTTAAAAAAGATTACCAATCAACATTTGAATCTACCAAACAGTTTTACTAACCCAACCCAACTTAATATCATAACATGTAAAAATACATTAAATTAAAATATATCCCAAAAATTGAGACAAGTAGAAAAAAATATTTTAAATCTAAAAATTTCTTTGTTGATTCAAAAAACATTTCCAATAAATAATTTAAACCCATCAATCAATTTTACAAGTTGAATAATATCAATGAACATAAGAACTTTTAAAGTTTTCTTCTCACATTTCCTAAAAGAAATATAATATTAATTATTTTAAATTTATAATTAAAAAATTATTAATATTGAACACACGCCTTAAATTTGTAACTAAAACAATCTAATCAAACCTCTAATCGATAACAAATGAGATATATAAATAATCGATAAGATATGAACGAATCATCTCTATAAAAAAAGATAACCAATTTTGCTATTATCAAAATGAGGAAATAATTTTTGTTTTTAAAAATTAAAAACAAACATTTCTTTGTCAAGTCATGTTCGTGAAATTATATTAGGACCAAGGTCGTTGAGAATAACCCGATAACATAACTACACAACAAAAATATGTAAATTAAAAAAAAAAACTCAGTTAACACAACATAAACGAAAAATGTTTTATGTTAATACACAAATTTAAGCTTTTCTTTTATGAATTTATGTAGTAACGATCTTATCTAATAGGACATTGACGCATTTCAATTCTTTTTTTAACTAACTTAACAGAGTAACGAATCATTTCGTTTCGTATTGTTACAAGTTTGAGGTCAGAGACTAGAGGTCATTTTACCAATATAAAGGCCTCGGATTAAAACATTTTCTGACCTGATTTCATTGCGTTTGATGTACAACAACGTTTTACATCATGTGATGATGATGGTGATGTCGTATACGGAAATTTATTAGTAAACGTAGAATGTAAATGAAAATGAATGAGTCAGTTAACATTGAGTTACTTATTTACTACTGTCTTCAACTCGATGATTTAATGGAATTAAATACGTAATAATAATTAAATACATTCGATAAAAAGGTGACGTAATTTTCTAGGAAATGTTATTTATCTTTGATTTAAAAAAAAAATTTAGAAAAAAAAATCAGAAATGGAATTAAATAAAAGATGTAAAATGTATATCAAAGAAATGTGTGGAGTTTGAAATACTTTGATAACACATAAAAAAAATTTAAGGAATCAGTCAGAAAAAACTAAACTAAACTGAATCATCATCGATATTACGAAATGGTCGTCATCAGCTATTGAAAACAATAATTTAATTTTAAAATGAAGAACGAAAAGTAATACATTTTTGCTTAAAAAAAATTATTAAACATATTAATAAAACATATTAATTCTTGCAGACTGGAAGACAACGGTAATCTATATGAGTCATTCAATTATGTGACCGTGATCGTATTGGCGTAATTTTCCATTTACTATTCCGTGAAAATTCCCAGTAAATAAGTATAATAAAAACATATCGAACGAATAATCCCCTTAATGAATTATATTGACCGACTTAACCACCAATCGACAATATCTTGTTTTGTATTTTATTTATATCACCTAATTTATATTTTATGAGTGGCTTTAAAATAAAAACTCGTTCCATTTTACCTTGTCAACAAGAAAACCAAAAGTAAATAAATAAAATAAAACCGGCTGTCGAACGAGTTTCGTTTTTAAAGAAAAAATGAGAATGTGATTCAGTAAAAAGGGTTTCCCCTTTTTATACATTCTTGATTTACCTGGTTACTGAGTGGTAACAAGTCGACCTCGTTATAACTGGTGTCGTATTGAGCTTGCTCGATGCAAAGATGATCACGGGGTTGATCCGCATATTTCCTGTTGCGGGGTTCAATATCTCCCATACCCCCATTCGCCAAGAAGTACACCATCCCCCTCTTGCGTTTGCAAAATCCGCCAGAAGACGTCAAATTAATCCTATTGATTCCAAAAATTCTCTTTAGCCTTGTATTTTATTTCGATCAGCACCAACAGAAACTTGCTCGAAGAAACTTTTCAACTCGATTGGAATATTCTTTCTAAATCACGACGGGCGGAGATTTATTTAGTCTATCTGTAACAAATACTCGCGTTAAACTGGGCTTGCAAAACTCGGGTGTCAAAGATACTAATATCTACAACTCCCACTCTACTAAAATGGGTAGCGCTATCGGCTTCTCCCCACCTGTGATAAGATAATTTTAAAAGTTGATACATCACATACGTATTGATATACGTCATTAAAGTTTCAAGTATAATTATAGATTGTGGCTGTTTTTACTTAGTAATAAATTGGTTTAATGAAAAGTATCAGTAATATAATTTGATGAATAAAATAATATATAATTGTAGTTTACTAAAAAACATTAGAAAATAAATAGTTTTTGTGCTTAGATTGTTGTGTTTAATTAGATGGATTCATATTAATCGATTAAGCGAAACTTATTCAAAAAATAAAATTCATTGAAAATTGACAAAAATTTCAAAGAAATGTTACTAGAATGTTCTTGTTTATGCTAAAACAAAATCATATAAATTCTCCGTATAAATTAAATTTAGGAACTTTTCCAAAAAAAATGTATTAAGATGCAACTTCAAGGTAATGAAAAGTGTGAATATTTTGGATAAATTTGGACAATTTTTGCATATTTATTAAGAATGAATACCAAATTCCACAAACTATCAAGATTGTTAGAAAGCTGAAACTCGTCAGTGCAGTATTTTAAATGAAATTATAATAAAGCGGCGTCCGCGAAAATATAATATCAAAACATAACAATCTAAGATAACAGTATCCAAACTGGTCAAGAAACAAAATTCTGTGATCGATAGAACATAGAATTTAGATATATACTATTTTTTTATACCTTCTCTTTACAATATTTATCACTCCCTTCTCTTCTATGACATTGGTTCATGATCTACACTGCAAAACGTTGGGTAAACTAAGCTAACTGATGGGGATTATTAATTTGTAAGTGAAGTCTACCATCATTGCAAAGTATCCCACAATTATCATCATCTATATTATCATTTTTATAATACACATTACCTATTTTTAACATTTTATACACTGTGGTGTATAAAATGACACCAGAGAAGACCATATTTCTGTTTTACGCTATGCTTAATGCTGTGATATTGTTGTTGTATTCTGTATCTAAACCATTCAAATTTTTGGAATCCTCAGATCCACAAGAACGCGCAAAGATTGGAATGGTTTAGATACAGAATACAACAACAATACTGCAGCATTGAGCTTTTATTCGTAGTTTTCTATTAAAGCCTAATATTTCTGTCATATAGATATTCAATCCCATTCTTTCTAACGTCCACAGTATACCTATATTGTTTGGAAAGGAAGCCGTGTGTTCTTATTTAGATTCAGGTTGGTTTCGTCCTTATATTAGAATCGTAATCTTTTTCGACATCTAGTAACACCGTAACAGTTTGCTGCCTTTTTCTTACAGTAATTCGATTTTTTCAGCAATAATTTTCGATAACCCGTAGATAGTAAATGGACTTTGAGATTGTTAGCACTATTCCAACCTTTTTTTATCGAATCCGAGAATGACTTCCATTTCATTATTAAATCAGCTATCTTGAAAAATCCTGCAGTTTCAGAAAGCATCGGGACGATTTTAGTTTTTCCATTCTTCATCATTCAATGGTCTTCGATTAATTTCAAATCCTACTAAATTTCCTGCATGAGTATGGATAAGCGACGTGTTGACTATTTCATGAATATTTTTATCAAGAGCACTATTATTATCAAACTAGATTGATTTTAATGGCGTCTTCAGTTCTGGCGCCCTTCGTATCTTCTTCAGGACTTTCTATAGAGGTTGGGTTAAGTCTTCCACCTCCACAGGAGGGTATTTTCCTACAACCCGATTTTGTGCTCTTTAAACATTTTTTAACTAACTTCACCAGCTGATTGTAGTTTTCAGCCCAACACAATTTATTTTCTGTCGATGCAAGAAACGCTTCGAAGACTCTTACTGCTTTCTCCTATATTGCAGCTGTGCATTCCATGATCTCTGAACTTATAAATTAGTTGGAAATAGTGTTGGTTGTTAATATTTGTAATGTATAATCAAGATTTCAAGATTTTTTTTGTTTTCAGAATTATTTTTTATTTGCAGAATTATTATTACAATATTGCAATAATGACAATCATCTTTACCTTCATCTTACCTGTCTGTTTTAAGAATATGTTTATTCATAAATTTTCCTGATCTTGTTAGGTGGAGTGTGACCTAAAGAACAGGTCAACCCCTATTCTTTATATTTGCAACCTTTTTATTGTTAGTACCAAGAATTTCTGTTTTTACGTAAATCTCAGATATACCTCTAATTGTGCCCGACATCCCACTTTTGCGCCGAATGCTAAGAAATCGACGGGTATACCTGCGAGCATTGTAATCAGGTCAACATTATTGTTTTCATAAAATATAAACATAGTTTCTCACCAGTTTCCAATTATTTGAAAAGATATAAATTTGGCAAGGACAAATATGGTTCTTAGTATTGCTGAGAATTTTGTGTGCAAAACACGTCCGAATAATCGTCAGAAAATTAGTTGTGCAGTGCTTTTTAATTTTTAATAATGAAATTCAACGTGGGATTTTTGAAGATGATCAACTTAATGTCGATAGTCAAAATGAAGATTTTAATGAAACTGATGAATCAGATTCTGAAGATCGAATAGAAACGCGATCACTGGATTCAAACACCGATCCTGAATTCAGTGATAAAAAACAACGTAGCGAACCTGAAAACGATGATAATTTTTTTTAGGTAAGTTCTGTATTTTTATAATGGTCACATCCTGTATCTAAACGATAAACTTATATAGGGAAAGACTGCATACAATGGAAAAAGAAACCATCCAAAATTTCGAAAACACGTCGAGTTACTTTTGAGAAAAAACCCTGGTGTATTAGGAGAAGAAGCAACCAATGCAAAATGTGTATTTCAGACATGGACTTTAGTTTTTACTGAATTGATAAAAATAATCAATTTAGTATTAATCTATTAGTGGATAGCACTAATCAACACAAATCAAGTAAAGACAACATTATGATATGTTGCTACTTATATGTATATGTTGATATGCGTCATGCTGATGTCCATGTTTCAGCAGTATAATTTTTCGTATTTTAATCAGAAGTAACTTCCTCGTTATTATGCCAAATTCCTTTAGAAATAAAGTAGTTGTTCCATAAATAAGTAATATGCTCTTGGTACTAATTGTAAGATAACAAAGTGATATTACGTTAAGACACACGAAGATCAAATACAGATTTCAATTAGTGATATTTAGACACTTTATTTTTTCATGCGAATTTCAATATTTAACAAATATATTAAGCTGATTAATTTCGAGAGGATTTATATCTTAGGGATGAAAACGTTTATTAAATTATTAAAGATAAACTTTTATAGGGAAAAAGTTGAAGGTACCATAACGAATTTAAACCGTGAAATTTTATGCTAATTATCTCGAGAATTATAGAATTAAAAATTAATCTGTTAAAACATATTCTTTCATTTCAATTTTGAATTCAATGTCAACTACTTTTAAAACACCCTTATGATTTAGTTGATTGAAATTGCCATCTAAAACGATTCATCACATGATTTCCATTTATATCGTCGAGTTATTAACATCAATTGTTACAATCGGATAAAACGAAAGGAGATTCACGTGATTCAAATATCCAAGAAAAGCCGGATTTCCTCAATGTGTTAAATTTAATCACGTTATCCTATAACAACTTAACCGAAATCATTAAACCTGTTAATTATTTTCCTTTTAATCCAAAAAATCATAAACATTTAAATTCTAAAAGCTTTTTTCTTTAAGATCATGTTGCAATAAACGTAAATTTAAATGTACTTACTTAAAAAACGATATAAGTCTGCTTTCTTTTCTAAATCTATTCCCATAAAATTCAAAGTTTTCTGATAGTATTTGATTTTTCAAAAAAAAAAAATTGTCTTTGGATGATGGATAATTTGGAGTTTTCAAAAATAGTAAATTGTTGTTTGGATGAGATGTAAAACGGAGATATGCCACGAGCACCGGATTCTTAAGCACTAGAAATCGCGATAAAACAACTATCGCATTTCTGCGAAGCGAACCCCGGACGCTCGGGCCGAAAAGAACACAAAATTTTGAGAATCGAGGGCGCTCGAAACGTCACAAAAAATGTCAACGTCCTTCAAATTAGACATGACCTATCATCAATCAATATTAATATCACACGAGAGATTAAATAAGAATAAATTTTTTATTATCGCTTTTTTTATAATTACATCAATATTCAGACAAAGCGCATCTCGATGATAATTTTAGAATCATATTTATTTAATATTATCTTTTTCCAGTACAACTCGGTCTTGACAAGAAAGGATTTTTTTTTATGTTTGAGTGTCAGTTTATAAAAAAAAATAATTTAATTAAAATGTTACGATTAAAGTACAATTTTATTAATAACATATCCGAGATAAAAGTACTAAACAATAATGATGTAAACAGGGCAATTGAAAATTAAAATAACAATGGGTGATTTAAAGTTAATAACTTTTTATTATTTGGAACAATTTTTTTCTGTTTTTAGATTTTTAATTTTTAATCTAATCAAGAATGAATATGATAAGAAGTCTACATTGACGTAATTTGGACAACAGACCAAAACAAATTACCTTGCTCAATTTGTTGAATATTTTGTTTGCTTAAATAAATACTTATTATTCATATTTATTTTAAATGTCCTCACATTAAAACGGGTAGTGTGTAATACACGTGCCTACGTATTGCATTTATTGCGTTTTCAAGTTAAATACGTCATCATCAAAGATTATTATTAACTCAATTATAAGAACTTTATACGCACTTAGAAATCATAATCACAATGAACTTTATTGTACTGTTATTAGATAAACAAAGGATTGACCTCGATAATTGTTTTTATTGTTTCTGTTTTTTTAAGAAAGTGTTATAGTATACAACAACAAAGATAGTTTGTTTGGTTATAAAAATATTACATTCAGAAAATGTATTTATGA